TACACGGCGTACACGGCTAAGTCAATAAACTGGGTGACGCAACTCACTAGCGCGTTGGATCGACGGAGAGCACCGATACTCGGCACGCTCTACCGTACTCTCTCGCTCGCACACCTCCCTCCCATAGCCACCGAAATTCCTCGGCACCCGTCAACACCGACGGAGAGCACCGATACCGCGGCTCGCTCTATTGCTCTCGCTCTCTCCCGTTCGCCCGCTCCGACCATCTTCGGTATCGTTCGGTACACGTTGACACCGACGGAGAGCACCGATACCGCGGCTCGCTCTATCGCTTTCGCTCGCATGCCGTAACGTCACCCGATTCCCGGAATCCCGCGGCCACGAGATGGCTCATTACGGTAAGGGTAAGGCATTCCCGGAAGGGAAATTGTAAGTCGCCGGTCAAAAGGTAGATTTGATAAACTATTTATGAAACTACATCTATTCTGAATTTATCTGTTACAAATATACGAATGTAAGGCAAGATATAAAAACGAATAAAACAAGAACATGTAAAAAGTAACATTTATAAAATGTCCATTAACGATGGATTTAGAATAAATTGTCTTGTAGTTAAGTGAAAAAATATATACTTTTCCGTTTCATGTTTCATGACTGTCATATTTATCCCTTAACCTTAAACTGAAGCATCGGATATTTTTATTCCCGTGAAATCATATAGATACACGCAATATGAATGGAATATATAATACTTCATTTGTGCTAATAATAATCAGATTCATGCTTTATCGGTAACGTCGGGTATTGACATTAAAATGGTAACAGGGTTACGTAGCCCTATGAACGTGGGACAGAAAAAAGCATTGCATGATAGGTTTATTCTATACCTAGTCGGTGCAATAATATCCCAAGATTATAAGACGTAGGTAGTTACTTTCTGTAGAAACCTGTTGAATCAGACCACTACAGTTAGTACAAGATTCTACATTGTTCATGCAGTTATATTTAAACCGATTCGATCAAATGAAGTTTATAGCAACACTGTAAAAGTTACATACAGTAATACGGGAAAATAGAAAAATTATGATCAATTCTAGTACAAATTTTTAGAAAAGTTCAAATCCATCCTATCCTTAGCTTTTATAGATCTGTCCTTTCCTCTTCAACTTCCATAAAATCCTACTGTCGCTATAATTTTTACGGGCTCCAAGTAAGACGCAACTACTTTTTAAAAAGCTATGCACTTTATTGGCCAGGCTTGCAACATACATTCCGAGCAAATCATAACAAAACCAACAATTTCCACTAGCTACCGACCGTGGCGTCGATTAATATTACGTAATGCTATATTCGAATGTGCGATTGCCCTCTCGACTCGCGAGATTCCCTCGTATCCGCTCGATCGTCCCTCTTGAATCATGACTGATCATCACGAATCGATCACGAGTCGACCGAGGGATCGAGAGCTTCCGATCGAAAGTATGGACAATTAAAATATAGAATAACTGTGATCTGTGCGTCGAAGACACCGAGTTTAGGCCTCGATACCGTTTATATATCTAAACCTACGTTTTATTTATCTCTGCTCCTCTCATTGGTCGAATCCCCGGTCTAAAAGTTCGTATAAAAAAGTTACAAGCACGATTGTATTGCGATCATGGACAAAATCTTGGATCCGTTCCACACGATCATTCGTGAATAGAACCGTCGTCTCTCTTCCTTTCGTTGATTCGATATTACAGTACGAAACGCGCGATGGGTGGATTCAGATGAACGGAAACGGCGGATTCTCGTGCATTTTACTCTGCTCGATATCATTGAATCGTTTTTCCTCCGTATCGAAGATCAAGAAATCTTAATAAATTACACAGATTGTAGGTGTGATATTTGTTACTGCGTTCATTGTGTCCTGATATCCTTTTTGCAGTTGCTTTAAAATCCTGACAAAAATATCAAAAATCCATCGAGTATTGGTACGAGTTACCGATTGTACAAATGGTTGATACAATGCATACAAATCAGTCGTATAATGAACCAAACTAGTATTAAAACGTCTACGAAACGTTGAATCTCAACACGATACGGTAGTCATTAAAAATCCAGAGACTCTTCTCGGTTTCTGGCAAAAGTTATGATCCTCGTCGAAAGATTGTTCACTTTCCAGATTCCATTTCCCTGCTTCGATCAGTGTTGCTCTATTCATCGGCAACTTTTGTCATTCTATATTTTTCTAACCCTCTATCGAACTCTCGAAAGAAGATCGAGTCTAAGGGTCTATCGACGCTACGTAGTTAGCTCCAAAAGCTTCCATCTTAACACTAATTCACTATTTTTTATCCTTCCTCATTTAAATAATATTACCATTCATCATTCACGAAAACATGTCGAGATCATAGAATCCCCAAAGAAAAGTTCTTCCTTTTCCACTTTTCTCCCAATAAATCGGAATTAAGCTAGAACCTTTCAGGGCTACGTAGATCGATCGAAGAATCAGGGACACACCTTCAAGGATTACTTCGTCCGGAGTTAACGCTAGGTTCTTTAACATCTACTTAAGTGTAATATCGGAACGCATAACAATGTACAAAAAAGTGTTTCTCGCCAAAGTGTACAAAATTCTCCACCCCGTTCTCTCACGTCAGGGTCGCGTGTGCCTACACTGCGCATCGCTCCATCCGAGCAGTGTGACGGTTTCTTATCGAATTAATTATAATGAAGGTACATTTCGCAGTTATGGTACGGCATTGGTTATTTGTAATTCAAGCGAGGGTTGGATGCCATCGTGGTCTCCTTAGATCTTCGGGAATGTGATCTCGTGAGGGGGTTGGTCCTTCTCGACCAGCCAGACGCTTCCGCTTTTCCCGGTCGTCAGCACGTGGACCAACGCCTTCGCCACGTGATCAGCTCTAAAAAATTAAAAAAAAAACGAGAATTAAAAAAATTCAGAAATCCAAGATCAGTCCTCGAAGTTTATCTTTTTTTGGAAATATTTTAGTTCCTATGCTTTTGTTACAGCATCGAGGAATCTACCCTCTTTGGTCTTTCTGGGCAAATAGAGGCATAACTCTCGAAGTTATTAGGAATAATTGTTCCAATTTTAATTGTCTCGTGGTTCGCTAGTGATCAACATGTGGACCACGCCTTGGCCACGTGATCCACTCTAAAGAAGACCGAAACTAACTAAAACAATATAAGAAATAATAAAAAAATAATCAATTTTGAGAGGAAAATGGTTATTTAAATATTTTTGAAACTATTTTTTAAAATTGTTTATTATATATTTATAATTATTTTTATTATTATTAGTTAAATATGTTAATAATGATTTCTTTAAATTTTTCTAAAATTGGGAAAATTAAAAATAACGAAGTGATCGATGTGACTGTCCAATGGTTTTACATGAGGATAATAAGAAGTGTTATGGGAATATTAGATTATGCAGTTATGGTTTTCAATTTTGAGTATTTCTACCTCTGTGGTACGGAACTGGCAGCGTCACGATGCCAGGCGTCCTCGTATCGAGCCCACAGCAGCTGTTTACTGACGTCCTGCAACAATTTACTGTCTGTCGCGCTTGGGCACAGTGCCATCACCTTCACCCCGGTCAAGTCCACATGATACTGGTGCTATGGAAAACAATAACAATGGAAAATGCTCCTCTCCCATCAACATCGAGATAATATTTATATTAGAAATATCAGACGTGGAATGAATTTACTTTGTGACTTACAGTGTTATTTAGATATAATTAACTATCTCGAAGATATTAAAAATATAATTTTGAAACCATTTTGTTGAAGACCTGTGACAATTCATTTTCGTATTGATTAAACGTGATTAATTAGTAGACTGCGGATGTTTATGCAAATTTACAATTTTGGATACTGATATATATAAAAAACAAAATTAAAATAATTTTTCTTCATATAGTAGGGGTGTTAATATGTTTGTTCATAAGAATACGTAGGTACTAATAAATTTACTATAATCATTATTTTGCGATATTTTGTAAGTCAGAGAACGCTATACTATAAGTGCATAAACATCTGCTGTCTATTAATTAGTATCGACAAATTTTAGATAGTATTCTGTTTATTAACACGTTCGCTGCGTGTCGACGGGTGATTTTGTCGTGTCGATCAGCTGGGACATCAAATTTGAATGTTGAATATAATTAAAATAATGAATTATTAATTTTAAATGAGGAGACAGCATGTGTGTGGATGAAAATATAAATCGGTGAAACATGACAAATTGTTCGCGATTCTCTAGTGGCAGCGAACGTGTCAATCGTATTTTTCCGTTTGTCACTGTTTTCTTATTTTGTTTCTTTTCATTCGTGTATCTGATAGTTTAACACGCGTTGGCAACCGTCACGTGTATTGTCCAGCGTGATTTTTAATAATTACCCCGAACGCTCTGGTGAAATTGACAATGGCCGCTTTAGTGGCGGAGTAGATTGGCACGCTGGGGTAGGGGTTGATGCTGACATTGCTCCCGATATTAACCACTATACCGCCGTGACCACCCCTGTCCGTTCCCATGAATCGTTGAGCAAGCAGTGTTCCGCGAATCACGCCGTTCTGAAACAATGATTTTCACAGGGATATCTCCAGTTGTAATATCTAGAAATTTTATTCATAATTTGCAGGTGACAATAATACAATAAATTACAGTTTTATACAGGGTGTTCCACTTAACACGAGTACCTTTAATATCTCACTTGTTTTTGAAAATACAAAAAAATGTGAGGGGAAAGTATTATTCGGTTACAAGAAGTAAATACTATGATAAGCAACAATTTTTCTCAACGTATTAATTTTTGTAATTTCAAGATCATCGATGTTTTCTTTTAATAAGCGTGGCGTAATAGTTCAGATCAAGATCAATCCAATGACCTATAATAGTTGTGACCTTCATGTGACCTTGAGTACAAAAAATTTATTAAAATAAATTTTCTGTAAATTGAAAACAAGATACTAAAAACACCCTGTATATTATACATACTATTTGATTGAGCATAATTTAATGAAGAATTTATGGTAGCACTGCACACTAAAAAGTTTTAAGATTTTGTATGCTACGATCGAATTATTAGAAACTTTAAATTCGAGTACTCACGACGTTGATATCGACTTCCAGCTCCCAAAATCGATCGTTCATGATTCCAGCATTGTTTATAACAATGTCGATGTGACCGAAGGTTGCGATCGTCTTCTGAAACGCATCTGCGAATAATGAGACCCAAAAGTTGATTATCATCAGCTGTAAATTGCTTATGATTTTTTAATAAAACGAATATTTTGAATATTCGTACCCTCGAACTGTGAGTAGTCTGTGACGTCGCACTGACAGAAAATTACGCGATCTTTTCCGTAGTCTGACGTTAAAGTTTCCATTAATTTTTCACCTTCGTCCACGTCGATATCGCATACGGCCACCTAACAATAAAAAAATGCAGTATATTATTAAAATAAAATATATAAAATGTTATCAGATCTTTTTGTATCAAATCGATTTCATTTTTGAAAGTTTATGATTCGCAGCTTAAGGTGATATATGCATATTTTAACTGAAAAGTTTAGCTGTTCATCGTGACATGGTCCCATTTCGTCCTCGATAAATATTGCCTCACTTTGTAATTTTTTTAAAAATAATAACACGGTCGCGCAGAAGATATGAGCACATAATTTATTTCTGAAAAATTATTCTCCTACGTAAAGGGAGATAAATAAGACGCCCCTTGTAGTTATTAATATGTAACTTTTATTCCTTACAAGTCAGTCGGAAAACGCGATAAAGTTTCTTCTCTGACGGGGAGCGATCTAAATATAAGTCGGTTATTCTTGAGTACGAGGCGTTGAAGCGTTTATGGAGCAGTATAATATACAAAGTCAAGGTTATATTATTATATCCTTAGGGAGCATTCGTTAAATACAAAAAAAAACTGTTTCCCCATGATCCTTAAATAATAGGGTATATCTTACAAAAATTTCTTAACAAAATCTCCAAATAGAATACATTATTTCCCATTAAAACTATTTATAATATTTCTGTCTTAAAAATTGTGGTTAACCCAATGACGTTTTCGTTTCTTTAACGTTATTACGATTTTGCATACTTTTTTGACTTAATTTTAGTCTCGTTTTTTTTAGAATTATTCTTAGGTTTGCGAAATGTGTTAGGAAATTTTTATCGAACTGAATGTTTCTTCTTTCCCGCGATTATTTTGAATGTACAGGTGCATTGAGGACCGTAGCAAGGTTAAGAATATTTGAAGAAACAGGTATATAGTATTAATTTTCTCACCTGAACGCCCTGATACACCAACTCTGTGGCAAACGCCTTTCCGATACCGGAAGCGGCGCCCGTTACTAAGGCTACCTTCCTCTTTAAATCCATGTTCGGGACTTCCTCGACAACTGTCCGTCTGTGAACTCAATAATTTAACAGTATTTCAAAAACATATCGACGAGAATATAAGTGACTAGTAGATTAGATTAGATTACGATCTTTTATTCTTGATAAAAGTACATTAAATGGAAATTCAATTTCATTAGAAACATTTGTATTGATAATTAGACTGTACATTTATTAAGTAGTCTTGTGGAAGTAATGAGATCACACAGAATGAGACCAACAGAATTAATACAAGAATCTCTGTTTAAGACTAGTACTTTCTTTTTTCCCGTGCAGTAATTCTTAATGGTTTAAAGTTTTTCAGGGTTTATCTTGTATATTTTTGCCTTCCACTGTATGCATTTATATCCATTCATGATTATGGTCTTCGTACTTTGGATGGCCACGTGGACCACATTCGTCTGTACGAAGACAACGAGCAAAAAATAAGTGCAACTTGTCGATAATATTCGCCAAGTTGCTGCTACAGTTTGCAATAAATAATCATCTCAGACAGTAATACAAACATTAATATCGTAATAATTAGACGTTTATGAAAACTGCATAATTTGCTTATTGTAACTAGACTTATTACAAGATATTTTACAGGAACTGGAATCTACAGAAATTTATTTACACCATCAAGACTACCAAAGCAGTCAACATGATTGGTTTAAACTCTTATGAAAATTATTAAAATGTCATAACAGTGTATCTTCTGAGATTCTTCGTAACTGTTGTTGCAATATATAAGTGAAGTTCGTTAATTTATCGATTTGCATATTTTATACAAGTCCCTTTTATCAACGTGATAAAAATAGAAATACATTTATCTTCGGTAGTTTTACAATAGAAACCTCGCTACACTTTATCAATCTACTTACTATACTGTGTCCCAAAAAATTGTTTATACTATAATCACACAATAACCACATTCAAATAATAATTATTACACAAAGTTCCACAACACAACTCCCAAGTGATCCACACTCGCCTCAACAATCCTCAGTTGCACAATACATTCCTCAATAATTTAAGAAACTAAAAACGAACACTATACCACAAAATAAATATAAAAAAACGTCTTCTTTTTTAAAGATATCTTCTGTTTAAGACGTATTGCCAAATATTCTCCGTTCGTATTTACATCTAACAACGCACGTTCACAGGTGAATGTCGTACAGACAGCGAAAGTTGGATAAACACTCGTCGAAAGCTTTCAGGCAATTACACAGAAAATTATGGGACCAAAGTTCATGATTGATCGAACAGTAACTCATTATTCTGTCAGGATACAATAAAAGTTACGGAATCACTATATATACAAACAATTTCCACTCAGTTTTAGCACATTATTTTCATCATACCTTTCTAAAATAATATTTTTCCCTTTTTTTAATCATCAGATCTAGTCCCATAATTTTGCTCGTTAGTGGACTTCCAGAGAAAAAAATGTTATAAGGAAAAAGTCGGCGTACATCGCGACTTCGTTTGAAGAACCGTCGTCCAAGCAATTTCCGGTCTGGTGACGGCGTGTGATCGGTCACGTGGATTAAATCGAATTTCACCGTCTCGTTATAACCATTTCGTACTCGACTTCCCGGCGTCGATGGAGATGCTCGGTCGGAAATAAAGCTCGGCGATGCTCGACGCGGCGCATGACTCACTGAATCCGCATCGAAAGCGTCGTTCGCCACGACGCACAGTGGTACAGAACGCCGATTTAGGAGTCCAAAAGCTTAATTTAAAAATCAAATATTAAAAACCAAACTTGGTAGTCGTGTATTTAATGTTCATATTTATTAAAAAAAATACAAAATTAATAAGTAGTGTTCTTTTGATAATAATTACTATATAAAGACAATAAAAAATTTCTTTTTTTCAACGGAGTTCTTATTGTCAATCACAAGTTCTCTTATACCGTTCTCGAAAATTAATGGATATTCTTTCAAAATAACTCTGCCGAAAACAAAAGAATTTTACTTTTTTTACAATAAAATTATTATTAAAAAACACTACTTATTAATTTTGTATTTTTTGTTAATAAATATGAACATTAAATACATGCTTACCATGTTTGGTTTTCAAATTCCACTGGGCGATGCTTTGGCGCCAGACTCACGTCGTGCTGTGTCTACTGGGCAGCTGTCGCGGCCACGACATCGCGAGCTAGCCGAATTTTTTGCAATTAAAAACGCAATCCTTCTGTCGATCTCTCTATTTCATTCGTTCACTGCTTTCCTAACCTTATATTTCAGCTGGAAATTATTTTCTGATGAAATTTTGGAGTTCGAAACTGAATGTGACTTGAATTTGTGATTGTTGCAATTGATAGCATTTTCTTTGTCAATCTCAGATTTGATCTTGATTCTTCTTTATGGAGCTAATTTTTAACGTGAAATATTGTTGAATTCTGGGCTTTTTGTGAGAGATTAATTTATGTCCATTTAAGTTACATAAATTGAGAAAAGTTTGCTTTCCTTTTGGCGGGATATTGTGTTTAGGATCTTGTTAGAATTGTACTTGAATCTGAGAACGTAATGAATTTCAAGTAATTGGAACGAGATGTGGAAGAAAAAATCGATTTAACTGGGAATTAATTGAACTAGAATAGAAAATGATAGAAGAATAATGAAGAATTTTTCAATGAATGTTTGTTGTTCTCTTCTATTAAAAATACGATGGAATGTTCGATGTTAAAAATCGAGTGATTATTCTAACAAGAATTGATTTAGAATTCGAATGAATTCCGTGCGTGCTAAATTAGAATGTTCAGTGTTTCCCTGTGAATCATAGATCTTTATCGTTAGGTAATTTAAATAAAGGGAATGTATAGGTACTATTACTTTCATGTTCACCTGTGACACACGAAACTCGATACTATTTACAACCCTATAAAAGTACACTTTCCATTACACAAAATGATAAGTAAAATCCAAACATTCCTTTCACCTTCATTAATTTTTAAAGATTATTAAAACAGCTCATGAATTGAAATCATTAAAAAAATTCATATTTGAATATATATGAAGATGATAAGTTATGACACAATCAAACCTAATGAAGACAATAAATCTGTCTTTAATTAAATAACCTTTCAAATAAACGTATAAACAGAAGAATGCAATTCTCTAATAAGAACTTAACAGCAATTTGCAATAATTTCAGAGAACAGAATTCCAAGTTGAAAACTTCAAGACCCTTCCAAGAGACCTACTAATAATTATTTATAATTAGTAGACTGCGGAACATTATGCAAAATAACATTTTTCGAAGTGATTTGTAAAAACAGATATGAAGATTGGATTTTCGTTCCTTTCTTAACGATTTTCTTATGACAAAAATATGACAGAAAATGTATTACTTCAGATATTACCTTTACCATTTATCATATTTCACAAAGTCGTATATGCTATAAATGCATATAATCTGCAGTCTACCAATTAGACACAAATTTTATACATTTATAGCCTACATGTCTGTGAAATACAATAAAAAACAAACCTCAAGTTCTCTATTTCATTTTTAACCCAGTAAGATATTTAAGAAAAGAAAGAAAAACTTTGTTCTTGCCTTCACTATTTCTATATAAAATATCATTTTGCATAAAAATCCATTTATAATATGTACGTTAAAATATTTGCAACGTCGCCTAGTCCGCTTAGAAACTGGTGTAAAAAATCAAAGTAAAGATGAAAAAGACACGATGCACCGTGTACATCTCGAGCGTGTGAAAGGCACGAGCGTCGAGGAGGAGGGCTTCGCACGTTCGTAGAAGAGGATTTCAAATACTCCTGCGTGTGGATCACCCTCGCGAATGAAACACCATCACACGAAGCCTCGTTTAATATCGCAGCAGCCTAGGTGAGACCACCAGCCCCTCCTCCTCGTCGTCTGGCAGCGGTAGATAAACCAGGCGAACCGTCCTTTCCCTCGGAGGTGAGCATCAGAAAGAGCCCAACCCCCTCCCACGATCTAAAAAATTCACGACGCCCTCGATCGCTCGATATCCCGGGGGCTGCCTCGCGCCTCTCTCGACTTTCACCTACGCTCCTCGAAAACACTCGACCACCATTAAGACCAACCCACCCCAATCCCCTGTTGGGAAAGTCGAGCGGTGCTCTGAAAAAGTCCACGACGCGAAACGCCACGTCTGCGAAGAGAATGAAGCCCCGGAGGCTTCGAGTGTGTCGGAATATTCTCCAGTTCACCATTGGCTGGACGAAGAAGTACGTTGGATGGTGAAGATGACAAAGACCAGGCGCTTTGATATGTCAGGGAGAAGCTGAGTTGGAAATTTGAAAAGTATTTTAGGCTGGGTTGAGTTTACTCGAGGGAGAAATCCGAGATCAGCCCTTTGGAGAAATATTCTAGTTTTTATGATTTTTAGTATGGAGGAATCTACCCTAGGCAAACAGAGGTATAATTTCTGAAGGTGTTAGGAATAATTGAGGGGTCTCAGTGCAAGAGGGAGCTACCCCATAACAGTAGCTTTGTGAGATATTAGGGCTTTTATAAAAAGTAATTTACATATAATATTGTAATATGTATATACCAGTGGTGGCCAGATCGTCTATCAGAAATACTCGAGAGCCGCATCCTCTATTGGAACGGTATTAAATTGTGAGTGACGCTTACAGTTTGTGTGTATACCATTGTGCATAATAAAATCAGTAAACTTACAGAAATATCATGTTATATATGTGTATGTAGTATCTGTAAAGTTTATAAAATAATATTCTATACATATATGAGAGTCGCAGTAAGGATCTAAAAGAGTCGTCTGCGGTTCGAGGGCTGCAGTTTGGCCACCATAGATATATACAATCATACTACAGGAATTTTACACGTACTAGTTATAAATTAAGGGATGACAGCTAGACATCAAGAGCTACAAGAATTAATAAAAAATCTAATTTTTCAAGATTTTGTGGGATAACTTCTTCTTGCCCTGTACCCCTCGATTATTTTAATTTTAATGGTGCCATGGGGTATTCCAGAAGCACCCCCGTCTGAAGACGCTAACCACAGTCAGCCGCCAACAAATTTTCAATATCACGCATTCAACCTCAAACAAAAGCACCAGAGCCACCAAGAAACCAGTGCCGTCTCAAACCACCATCCAAACACACAGATCCTCGAGCATCCCCGCGCTCATCCAAACCGATACCACCTCGACCCCCTTCCCTCATCCACCAGCCGTCCCGAACTCTTCATTTCACCAAGAATCCATAATTCCAGGGAGTGAACCCAGGACCCATACACAGCAACCCTTCACAAAACCCTCAACAAACTCCAAAAAATCACTCACAGCCACCTGGACGTTCAATCCTGATCGTCGAACCAAAAAACCTTCGATCGTCTTTTATTATCTCCTATCTTTTTTCCTCCCTCTGATCTCGTACCTTCGATCGCAACTTCCGATGAATAGAGGACGTGTCCCGCAACAGGCAGGTCGCGACGAAAGCGAAACGAAGTCGACGAACGCTGGCGGGGGTTGCGCGCACACGATCGTGGCCACACGATTACAAAAGGGCGTGTGTGTATGCACGTATACGTGGGTTTCACGGAAACAGGCTTAACCCCACGACAAGGTGTGGTTGACGGTCGCGGACGCACTGGCTGGCTGCACCATCGGCTCCCGTTGCCGACTCCCGGTGAACGCACACACCCCACAGTCGGCTCGATATTGATTGGCGGCGGTCGCGTGCCACGTGACTTTTACGTGCGACTCTCGCCCGTCCGCGTTGCGTGCCTCTGCTGCGTGTGGGTGTGTATGGTATATGTGGTATGTCTGTACGTATATTTGGTATGTGTACAGGGTGTCGTAAAATAGCTTCGACACCTGGAAATGAGGGGTTCCTGGGATGATTTGAAACAACTTTTTCCTTAGCAAAAATGTTATCCGAGGCTTCGTTAACGAGATATTAACGAAAAACCACCGACCAATCAGAGCGTGAGTCTGCCGGCCGAGTTCCCGCGGTAGCGTTGACTACCAATCGCAACGCGTAGCTTAAGCGTCCGCGGAAGCTCGGCCGGTAAAGTCACGGTCTGATTGGTCGGGGTTTTTCGTTAATATCTCGTTAACAAAACTTCTGATAATATTCTTGCTAAGGAAAAAGGTGTTTCAAATCATACCAGGAACTTCTCATTTCCAGGGGTCGGAGTGATTTGGGGACACCCTGTATATGTGGTATGTGTGTATGTACACGTGGTATATGTGTAAGTATACAGGGTGAATCACGAATAGTGATCAGTAGAGATTACTGTTATTAGCAGTCCGATCGAAAATGATTTTATCAGGAATAGCATGGTTTCAAGAGAGCTTTAATGCGATTATAGCAAAAGGTTTGTCAACTATTTTTGTTCACGATTTTTCAAAGTCACCTTCAATTTTTTACAAATACACCTATAATTTTATTACGCCTATCTGTTAGAGGATTTCAAGACGAATTCGGTAAGTATCATAACATAACATGTATTAGGCGTAAAAAAAATATACGTGTATTTGCAAAACATTGAAGGTGACCTTGAAAAATCATGAGAAAAAAGAGTTGACAAAAAATTTGCTACAATCACGTTAAAGCTCTCTTGAAACCATACTATACCTGATAAAAACATTTTTAATCGGACTGATCTTAACAGAAGAATCTCTACTGATCACGATTCGTGGTTCACCCTGTATATGTGTTCGTATCCGTAAGCCGCAGCCCTTAACCTTCGCCCCGGCGCTCCTTTCGCGGACACGATGATATTCCGGCCACGCTTTCGATCGTCGACCGTCCTACCTCGCCGGTTTTCCCGTCGACCCCGCCCTGTCGCGTGGGATCGGTGATTTAGGGGGGTAGGTTCGCGCCGATGTTCAGGGTCGCCATGGGGAATGTGGACGAGTGAGTAGCATGTTTGCCAGACGTTTACCTTTAGGTAGAATTAGAGATCGTAGTTTTAAAACTGTGAGAATACTTTATTGTACAATTAAACTGAATATGAAAATGTTTATTTTCACGACAAATCCATAAATATTGTGGCTATAAGGATTTATGTGCAGCCGGTGAATAAAGAAGGTGTTCCGCAACGGGGAATGCAACGAAAAAAATGTTCAACCAACTGTAGTATATTTTTTTACACGAACTTTTTTTTATACGTATTCTTCCGGAACGAATATAAATATCGATCGTATAAGAAGAGAATTGGGCGTACATATATTTCTGTGTTCTTATTAAATCCGAGTTCTAACTTAATAATAACATTTTTTTGCAAACAATACTTTACACGTCATGTTTTGATTAAATAAAATAAATAAAGTGACTATTAAATAAAATAAACGAAGTAATTATCGTCCTGAACTCGGGTCCGCGCCGGGACAATAATCAACTAAGGAGAAATGCTTCAGAGCCTCGTAAACTCGTTTTTTGTCTGGAGCCTAAATTTTAACAAAAAAGGAAGGGGCAACAAAGTATACACTTAACAGGTGCCACGCCCTCTTCCCAGTGGTGGGGATAATGCCAGGACAATAATCGTGTAGAATTATCCAGACAATAATCGAGAAGAGCCTGTACTGACACGGGACACTTATCCTATAACCTCCAAAATCAGACGATCAATCACATCGATCCCCGTCCGAATGAATACCGGAAGTGAGTCGACGGTCGTGGAGCAACCCTCGATCCTCGATCGGTCGCTCGCTCGCGCAGTACCGTCAGCTGAAATTGTCGGCGTTCCTCTGTCATGGCCGCGAATCTCCGGTGTGCCGGGGCTCGCATCGATAACCAAAACAGCGATAACGAAGAACGCGCAGATCGGCCGGAACACGGAGATAGAACCGTAAGGGGTTGAGGCCCGTTACAGACGCTTGGTGCAAGGAAACAGAGGGCTGTCGGTGGTGGTGGCCGGCGACCAAGGGATCGCGTTGGTCGGCCACGAGGCGATGGACGGCCGCGGCAGGATGAAATTTCGAAAGTTGTTACGCGGTCGAATGTCACGGGCGAACGTACTCGTGGCGAGGCTTAACCAATGCACCAGGAAACAGGCGAGCAGAGCCCGGAAATGCATGTGTCTGCCGTCGAATTACGCCCTCGTCGAGTTCCCCGTGGTCTGGTCCGAGCTTAGGTCTGTGATTTTTCCTATTGAGGGGATCTGGGATTAGGACGTTTTAATTAAACCGCGACCCTTTTGCGTTGTTCAACGTTCAATGGTATAGCAATTGGCCGTGAACTTGTCCAGTGACACGATGATTTTGTCGGTAGACGATCGAGCACGTTTGGAAATTCTGTTTGAAAATGTCGGGCACTTTATTTAGAGAGTGGTTGATACTGAATTTTATCTGGTTGTTGAATAATTTATGTGTGATAATTGGTTATTAGATGAAACATTATTCTTCCCTGTAGAGTGTCCTTTTGGAACACTGGTAACCCTTAGACTGTGAACCAATGGGAAGCAGGACACTCTTTATTTACCATGTTCTTTTTTAATAATTTTTAAAAGGAACGTCGAATAGGTTATATTAATTTTATGAAATATGACAACTGTAGCTGTCACAGAAGAAATGTACGATGGATACAAAGCACGGACAGATACAAAAATAGTAATTTTCGAATTTCTTGTTACACAACGAATGAAGAATGCTTGTAGGCGTTGTTAACTGTCAAAAGATTGACCCTGCTATGGTCCTTAGTCCGCCAATGACAAGGAAGGGAAACACGCAGATCGGTAATAATTTCTTTAGACATTTTTGTAGAGACAAGATTTAGATTAAGTAAGTAAACTGTCATAACAGCGTTAAAGAAACGAAAACATGATTGAATTGAAATATATCCGAAGATCATAGCAGGGTTAAGTTAATAATTCATTGCACACAGGAGGCATCTGTATAATTATTATCTAGCTTGTATATTTTCTACCCAATATTTCTATGATAGTTTTCGAGGAAGAATATTTTCTTTTTACCTTACACACTATTTATTGAACGACCCTGACACAATTCGATTTCATCCAGTCTTAACACCACTTTTTGAATTTTTCTTTTTCACTTTTTAACTTTTTATATTTTCGAGGAGTTGATCTCTTTGTTAAACGAACGGCTCAGATACATCCAACATTTTCTTAAGTGTGCCTTAACGAAAAGCCCTCATACCCCACTAATAATTTAATAATCGATGGTACAATTATTATCCAGCTTGTATATTCCCTAAACAATATTCACAATATCCCCTCGTTAATTTAGAATGTTTTTTTTTTAATTCAGTGAATTTAGAAACTTTCTGTACAAGGACGTATTCCTCAATATACAGTATATCATCGATGAGTGTTCGAAGGTTCCTTGGCACTCAGTATTCAGACATTATTCTCACCACTCAGTGCCATAGATTCTTCGAACACTTATCGATGATTTACTGTACTATGTTCTTGAATGTATCAAACGTATATTTCTTGTAAAAAATGTGTTCCTGTGAATTTCTTCGGGGCTCGAGAGCCCCGTTGACACTCTCCACGCTGTTCTCTTTTGGCAGACACGTCAATGTTTTTCAGAGCGAACCAGCAGCTGTGCGACGGTGCGATCAGATGCGCCCGGGACCACGTGTTCCCAGTGCACCGTGCCATTTTGTCCGCGGTCAGCCCGTACTTCAAGGCCCTTTTCACGAACAGCCTGAAAGGCGGCAAAACGGAGACCACCGAGGTCGCCATCGATTCCGTTCCCGGCAAAATTTTCAGTCTGATCCTCGACTACGCGTACACCGGCACCTGCAACGTGAACGCTGACAATGTCGAGCAATTATTACCGTTGGCCGATCAGTTCGAGGTCCTTGGTGTGGTCCAGTTGTGCTGTCAGTTCTTGCTGCAGGAACTGAGACCCGAGAACTGCCTAGGTAATGTGTCGTATTCGTTGTCGAACGAGATTTAAACACACGTAAACCCCTTGTGTTGGAATCAGTCGAGAGGGTAGATATCATATCTATCATAGAGATAAAAAATCAAACTAAAATACAAACAAGCATGGGCGTAGCCGGGTTCAAGGTGAATTTCATAATATTATTTTAAATGGATTTTAGATTTATTTTTACGGACTATAAATATTAGTTTATAGATAGAGGCTCTGAAACATTTCTCCTTTCGCGATTCATGTCACGATACGGACCCAACTTCTGGACAATAATCGAACGAATACTGTATAATATTTTTCTCCTCTGGGAGTGGCGCAAAATTCAATTTCTTTCCTCTACGGTTGGGCAAAGGCCCCTTCCTGCCCCCCTGGCTACGCCAATGCAAACAATCCGTGTGTCCTGAACTAAACGACACACTGCAAGGAGTTAAGTTTCGTTGCAGAATGTGACGAATATATTTCTTTTTATCTTACTTATGCTAATAAATAATTTGACAGCAATCCCTTTCTATTTTTGTTGAAAATGTAATATATCGTCGGTGATATTTGTATTATTTAGTTGTCGATCGAAAATCGGTATGTTCCGTCGTAAATAAACGAAATGAAAAAAAAAAAAAAACAAAGAATCGGGTCCCGTGTAAACGTCTAGCTACTAGCAAGACACTGCTGAATTGTGACAACTTAGGTGTCTTTAAATTCGCCCGTCACTATTTCTGCCGTGACCTGGAAGAGAGGGGCCGGAAATACATTCGTCATCACTTTAAGCGGATACTACAAGAGAGCCAGGAATTCAAAGAGGTCACCGGCGAGGAACTCGAGGCGATCCTACGTGACGACGAGCTGAACGTTAAAAACGAGGAAATTGTTTTCGAGGCGGTTAAAGCCTGGGTCGAGCACAACCCCGAAGAAAGAAGGCCTTGCTTGCCGAGGCTCTTGAGATGCGTCCGGTACGGCCTGATGAGCTATCACTTTTTCACGAACAATATCCTCGCGTGGAAGACCGTCGAGGAGGATCAAGTGAGTACATCTCGTCGGACATCCATTGTCCGAAAGACCAACCATGAATTTCCCTTCGACACTTCGTCCTTGACCGAATAACTATTAATTCCTATTATTACTTATAATATTACAGTATTCATTACTGCTTCCTTTCCATTATTTAAATACGGAGATTCTAAATTGAATAATATTCATAATTGTATTCTATACTTTCATTGAGTGTACGGTACTCCGCGGTGTTACAAACGGCCGCCATATTGGATTCTTGTTACGGAACGATATCTTAGACTAAAAGAATCGTTTTAATATTTATGGTTGATTTTGCTGTTGATTCAATATACACTATGGGCCTCAAACTTCTTCGACGCTATTTTAAAATCACTTTAAATAGTTTCTGTTGATCCAATATATATACATATTAATGTATCTTCACAAATGATAGGTTAAGTCGTAAATACCTCCTGCTTCCATTTAAATTTCTTTCATTCGTAGATGAATTGAAATCATTTAAATATCCATGGCAATGATTGTGTTAATAAAATTTAACAATATTCATATATTATTCTCAATAATAAGAAATTTAGCACAGGAACGAAATTTCTATTTAATTTTCAATTTCATCTAAAATTGTAAATTTCCATAAACATGCCCAGTGTACTAGAAACTCAATCCAATAATTTCAACCCGAAATGTCCTTACCATCCATCCCGAAAGAAAATTCTACAATAAAAAACGAACGAATAACGTTTTTACACTTTTAAGCACTGCCAGCATGTTCTCGGCCCCGCGAACGCGTACCTGAGCGAGCAAGAAACGAAACACAGTGGCGGCGAGATCGATCTGAAGAATCCATTTGCACGGCCCAGGATCCCGTACGAGATCCTGTTCGCGATCGGCGGCTGGAGCGCCGGTTCCCCGACGAATTTCGTGGAGACGTACGACACGAGGTGCTCCGATTGACTTTTTCCTCGCTGTGTACCATAGACAACATAGAAACTATCGTATCCGATCGTGAGTTGTCGCGGGTAATCGATCGTTACACGCGGGAACCGTGATCCAAGCCGAGATTCACCCGGGTCGTGTGTAATTGGAACTCCAGAGCTGACAGATGGTTTCTATCAGTGAGCATGGACGCGACCCCGAGGGCTTATCACGGTCTATGCGCCCTGAACAATCAGATCTACATGATCGGCGGTTTCGACGGGAATCAACACTTCAACACGGTCCGATGCTTCGATCCGGTGACCAAAGAGTGGCGTGAACGGGCGTGCATGTACCACGCCCGGTGTTATGTCAGCGTCTGCACGCATGGTGAGGCTTGATTTTTTGTTTAGGGGATAGAGGGTGGTTCTGTTGAATCGTTTAACACTAGAACTACCAAGCAAGTCTGGGTTAGGTAGTGTTTTGTTTAGGGGATAGAGGGTGGTTCTGTTGAATCGTTTAACACTAGAACTACCAAGTAAGTCTGGGTTAGATAGTGTTTCGGTAGTCTTAGGTAGTGTTTTGTTTAGGGGGTAGAGGGTGGTTCTGTTGAATCGTTTAACACTAGAACTACCAAGCAAGTCTGCGTTAGATAGTGTTTTGTTTAGGGGGTGGAGGGTGGTTCTGTTGAATCGTTTAACACTAGAACTACCAAGCAAGTCTGGGTTAGATAGTGTTTTGTTTAGGGTGTGGAGGGTGGTTCTGGTGAATCGTTTAACACTAGAAATACCAAGTCAAAATGACTTGCTAATACACTCTGATAACGATGATTAAAATGTTATATTGACACTCGTGTTAACATTCTCTAACCCTCGAACAGATATTGGGATTTTGTAAGGAAACCGAAACTTCGAGAAAGCAGAGAAAACTCCAAAAATCACTACATGAGTTCTTTCATAATATTAAGAATGTTGAGAATCTCCTCAAGTTTATCGAAAGTAATAAATACCTGTACGATTCCATTTAACTATCACTGACTAACAGTGCTCGTTGCTAATGACCCAGATGTCGATGCAACGCTAATCCTTTAATAAAAAAAAAACAGTTTTTCTCAGATCTTTTGTAAGTTTTATTACGACACGACATTAAAGAAGTTAGTTAATTTATAAATTTTTAAAAGTTTGCCATATTTATCGATCGATCGAAAGAAATATGCGTTTATCGTTGGTGGTTCTAGTGTCAAGTTGGCACGATAGGTCAGTTAACACTTTATCTGAGGATATCTCGTTTAGATTGTAAACAGGAACGTTTAACGCGTTAACTATAGTCTGTTATTTAATAGATTTAGTAGATCTAACAGCTGAGAAAGTTATTATTGAACACTTCGATCACAGTAGGAAATTATATTTATGAGAAATAGCAAGAACTCTTATAGAATAACGTAACAATTTCTTCTTTAACTGTGATCTAACAAGGAACACTATTCAATTGATGAAAATATCGAAGAGATTTTTACATATAGTTCGAAAGTATACGTTATACAGGATACGAAAATACAAATTAAAAATACTATTGAAAGTTGATTTGACCTTGAGATGTTAAACAAGCGTCTGTGAGAAAAAACAAACACTGAGTGATCTGGAAAGAAAAGGCAAAGAGTGGATGAAAGAATGAGCAAAAATAAGGGAAAGAGAGTGAACCAAACCGCGTTCTGAAAATGAATTATCTTTATTATATAACAGTGCAGAATAATAATAATAATAATCTGATCGACAAACTCATGACATGTGTAATGGATAGTTATCTTCGCCTATGAATTTAATTAATTGTTATGTAATAAAGGTAATTCATTTTCAATAAACGGTGTTTCATTCTCTTTTCCTTATTTTTGCTTTTCCTTTCCTGCTCCCTTTGTCCTTTTTTTCCACGCATCTTCTCCCAGACGCTTCTTCGACCTTCCAATGTCAAACCAGCTTTCAATAATACTTTCAATTTGCATTTCTGTATTCTCTGTGACATATACTTTCGAGCTATACATATATAAAAGTCTGTACGATTTTTATTATCAATTCATATAGTCTTTCACTATATCAATTCACTATATCAATCATACAGTGTTTTTTGCAAGGTAATAGCACTGAAATTCAAAAATCCATTAACAGGCTATCGGTCAGTAAAGTGTTAAGTGTTCCGAATAGTCCAATACTTCGTGCAAGTTTATTATTCAATAATCCATGTACATCAAAGTCCAATTAAACACGAACAATCGAGACGTATCTACATATAAATGGCGCCCGATCGTTTAAACCGTATGGCTTTGCAATCAGGAGGAAAGATTTACGCCCTCGGCGGCTACAATGGCCGCACCAGGATGAACTCCGGGGAACGATACGAACCGCAGAAGAACCAATGGGAGATGATACCGCCGATGCATCGTCAAAGGTCAGACGCGAGCGCGGCCGCGTTGCAGGACAAGATTTATATCGTTGGCGGTTTCAACGGACGGGAAGTTCTGAATTCCGCGGAGGTCTTTGACGTGAGGACCAATCAGTGGAGCTACATACATTCGATGATCAATCCACGGTCCGGTGTTTCCTTGGTGGCGTTCCGCGACAGTCTTTACGCTCTCGGTGGCTTCGACGGCTTTACCAGACTCTGTTCCGGTAATTACTACTTTGAAAATATGTATGAATATGAAAATGAGTTTACAGAAATTTCGGCTAGTGTATTTTGAAAATACCATTAATCGCTCCATTGTATCTAACTTTGTATTTTCATTAAAAAAAAATGGAGGTTCCTTTAAGTGTTAATATAGAAATAGTGAAAAATAATTGTTCATTTCAACTTTACTTATGTGAATAGCGAATGACTTTATAGAAATTTCGCAGTTCGTTTTCTGTTGAATTATATTTTTTTCTTTTTAAATAAATTTATGTTTATTTTTTGAAACCGATGTCTACGTTTTGTTTAATTAATCCCAAAATATTACCTCACATAAATTTTTCATTGGTATGGAATAATTATAACAATTCATCGAAAAACATGGTAACTTTATAGAAATGTGGATTTTATGCATTTATAGTATAGACGATTTTGTGGAATTTCAGTGGGGACGAGAGTTCGATGAAGTTTGAACAGATTGTTATTTTGTTTGTAACTTGATAAAACAATTAAGAGTTTGATAATGTTTAAGGAGGTTTTTATTTTATCTAAAATTGGGTGGAATATTGAATGACGAGAAGGAATTTCTGTTTAATTTCACTTCCTGTAAAATAGCTCATAAAAATCTATATTTGCATAAACATCCGTAGTCTATTATTATAACTACAACTTCTAACGTAATTGTTCCTACTGTCTTCTACAATGTGAATTCAATAATAAATTGATAATTCGAAATATTTTTCTACTGGCACGAATTAGATTTTCGCGGATGAAATTTGTGATCTGTGAGAATATTGTATTTACGTGGTTGTTGTCTGTTCTTTCAACCATTCAATATTACTGGAAGTTTCCTGGCCGAGATCGCTCCACTGAGCGTAAGAGCGTTCAATCGCCCAGGGATTTTCCGCTACGTAGAAATTAATGTCTCGTTACAATATCGATCCGACGTTCCCGCAGGGGAACGTTACAATCCGAATCATTCGGAGGACTGGCACACGGTTCCAGAGATGCTCAGCCCTCGCAGCAATTTCGCCACGGTCATCTTGGACGACATGATTTTCGTTGTCGGCGGTTTCAATGGTAAAACAATTATATAATATATAAAAAAAAAACTCTTGACAAAAATACCTTTTCTCTTGCAACCCCCATCCACTGTTCGGATCAATTTGATCAAAAAGCAAATCTTTTTAAATAATTCTGTATCATAGACATGTATTAGGTGTACCAGTAAGTAATCCACCATTTTGTTTGAATAAAATTATAATATAATTTCAATGCAGAACATATTCCAGCCCACTTTTCGTAAAATTGCAATATAGTTTTGATTTCCTAAAAAGGGAATATCAAACTTCGCAAAATATAACGGAGTATTTATCGATAGAACTAATATGTGTTAAAATATTAAAACTTCCACTGCTCTATAACCACAATTGAAACACTAATATTTAACTTGCTAAGTATTTAAAACTATTTACAACAAGGATTATACATTAAGTTCATTACTTTGAAAAATAGATAAGTTTCTCGAATAGATAAGGTACTATTTACAGCGTATTTCTAATATGTTGAATTTGTTTCCATTACAGTCGAAGGTTAAAATTTGATAACGATATTGTCAAGCATAATTGTAATATTTCTTTAAGACAATTATAGATTACCTTGGACTGTTTGTATATACTATTTAAAATGCTTCTATAATATAATTCTAATCGCTTCTAATTTTGCTTGATGCATAAAACGAGCAGGCTCGACGACAATCGCGTACGCAGAATGCTACGATGCAGACAGCAACGAGTGGTACGACGCGTCGCCGATGAATCTTAATCGAAGCGCCTTGAGCGCTTGCGTTATTGCCGGCCTTACTAACGCGCGTGAATATTCATACCAAAGCAAAGCTCGGGATCTTGGCCAAGGTATGTATTAAAAATTTTCGAAACTTCAATAGAAAAATTTCTAAATCATTGGATTCGTGGAAATATTTTGGTTTGGTCCTTTGAGATACCTTCTCCGTAAACTGTCAAAAGAAATATGAACCAAAAAACACAATATAACAATATATAAAAAAAAAATTTTATCCATCTAAATTTTCTTGACAGACAGCTATTAAATATTTATAAATTTAAGAATACTGATGGCTGATGCCCTCACGGATGACGCATCAGTACGAAATGTAAAAAATAATATAGTAAAATCTTGCTAAGAGCTCGAAACACGGACACTATTTCTGCCGCTCATAAATTACGCTAGCTTTTAACTGCTTGACTGGTTCCAAGAAGGACTCGTCTAAAAGGGGGATGACGCACGATCATTTATCCTGCAGCTCTTTCCGAGCATTTATCAAGAATTTACTGTGCCTTGTTTTTCAAAATTAAAATGGTAATCACTTTTCTAGACCTTTTTCCTCCAAATCGTTTAGTATTTACTTCGTAAAATTTCTTGTAAAATTTTCTAATATTTGTGGACAACTATCGCCTGGCGTGGCGTAAACAGAAAGGTCTTCAAAATCAGTTAAGCATTTAACATGTTAATAAAGAATATTATTCGCTTCACTCAATCGTTTTGCTCTTATGCATATTTAAGAGTATAATTATCTTTCCTTTAATATAATCTGTCCTTTCCGAGCACTTACCAAGAATTTACTGCGCCTCGTTTTTCAAAATTAAAATGTTAATCACTTTTTTAGACCTGTTTCTTCCAAATCGTTTAGTATTTGCTTCGTAAGATTTCTTGTAAAATTTTCTAACATTTGTGGACAACTATCGCCAGACGGAAAGGTCTTCGAAATTAGAGTTAAGCATTTAACATGTTAATAAATGTGAATATTATTCACTTCACTTAACCGTTTTGCTCTTATGCATATTTAAGAGTATAATTATCTTTCCTTTCGGTGAATTATTGAACAATGTTTACCGTTCAGGACAAGCGTCGTCCGAAAATCAGGAGAAGACCAATCAAGGCGGCGAGGGTGCCGCCGAGACGAACGCCGCAATTTCCACGGAAGAGGGTGAATCTGTGAACTTCGAGGAACACGATCAAGGGGAAGCTGGCCCCATGGAGGAGATAGCGGAGAGCGGTGGCAATTTTCTAGGATAACTCGATGATCGAGAAAAACAGTTAAAAAAGAGAAAAAAAGCGGATCAAAAATATGTTACATTTTCGATAGGCGGTAAAACCGACGAACACTCGACGTCTGTTATCACCATATGTTTCGTCTCTTCAAACAGTTCCAATGACACTGAGCACAACTCAATGAAATTTGTTCATGAAGTTTAAAGTTCGAAACTTTTAAATTGCATGGTGATATCAGATACAGAGTTGTTCGTAAAAGAAACGATCGCTTAGAAAGATAAAAGAATGCGCTTGTGGGGTAGGAAAAAGGTGGTCACGCGTGATAAGAGTTTTGAAAACTAGGCGTTTTTTTTATATTATGTTTTAGGGGAAATCGTCGCGTAATGTGGTACGCGGGTTTTAATCGTGATATCGAGTCTTTCATTTTTAGCTAAATCGTTATTTTGTAGGACATATTATTTTTCTGTTAAATCATTTGTTTATTCTTTTTTTTTTTTTGCTTCTTTTTATAGGACACGCTTGATCAATGAGAGATGGGAAATGTGATTAGTGCTTTGCACCCGAATTTTAGCCATTAATGTATTATATTGAAGAACCGATTCGCGTATTATAAGCGGCTTTGAATATTTTTCGCTTGTTTCCTTTTTCTCTCTCGTCTGAACGATACAGGCACGTTCGCGGATGGAGATACATTTGCACGGTTTGTTCCGCGAGGTGTGTACACTAAGATTTTGTCCTTTTTAATTGTCGATCGAACGAGACAAATTGTTGTTTCACCTTTTTTTTAATCGCCCATGCACGTGTATCTCGACACCGAGCGTTTTTTCTTCTCTGGTAGCGATCCTGATGTGCCTTGGACTGTTATTTTAAACGAATAAAAGTATACCGATTGCGAAATTACTCGCTACTGTGCTCTTAATTACTCAATTTTCATAAGGAATTAAAACTTCATCTTCCTATAGAAAGTCTATGTTCCACTTTATGTCAAATTAACGATTAATTTGATGAAGAATGAACTTGTACTCTTCTACTTTCATTTTTGATTAATTATATAATCATTAACGATTTACTTAATGCTACACTGCATAGCATAATTATAACTTAAAAATTCAATCCTTGTGTATTGTACTTAAAATAAAAACGAACCACTTTTTTTCTAGGGAATATAATCTATCCTTTTCTGGGAGAACATTATTTCTCTACAAGATTTCAGACACGGCAAACTTTGTTCATTTTTATTCTAACCACAATCTATAAGAACTGAAAATTCTAGAGTGGTTTTATATTTACGCCACGCAGTGTATAGTACATTCCTGGAAAATTAAAATGAAAAATATAAATAAACTATGACACCATTTGAAAGAAAATGTATAGTTCTTCGAAATAAGAGAAGATTCGTTAAAAGTGCAAAATCATAAGCACTAAATCTCGAGGTGAGGTAAGACTTTACGACAATAATACTAGACACTTCTCCTTTTTTTTATTAATCTATCTCATTTATGTATACGTAGATTTATTCGCTTTTCATATGTATCCATATATTATGTATAGTGTATACATTGTTGTTCGCTTCTTCATCGATGTTGCTCTTGCAACTACAAACTCTCTTCTCTCAAAAACTCGCGTCTTACATTTTGTTTTTTTTTTTTTTATTCTCATTGTATACTCTTCTCTCGCAACAACGCACGGTTCGATCAACAAATCATTTCCCCGTGTTCTCTTGTTAGTCGAACTAATATACTATAGTCGCGACGACTATCGTTCGCAGTCACACTGGAACGAGTCGTCGACGTTGCGAATCGAAAGAAGGGTCGCGAACGATCGCTCGGAAAATGTCGTTCCCGTAGCCGTCGCGGACATTTCGTTCCCCCATTTTGCGCTTATTCAACCCTCGATCGCTTCGTTCCTCTTACCGAAATTACAACGCGAAAATCGACAATTCAGCGGAGAAAGTGAGGTTTAAGACACAGATTATCGGAAATCGCCTAGAACCCAGCCATTTTCTAACGAGGAACTCTCGGATTTGGCGGCTCGATTTAAATCTCTTGTACTGAATTCACTCTTACGCGAACATTCAAAAACCAAAATGCTCATAACTTTGTTAAAATACAAAACAAATGACAATTTTACTAAACATTTATTAACATTTCTCATGAAACTGTAATGAAACGTAAAGATATAATTTAAAACAAAACAAAAAAAAAGTATCTTAGAGTTAATTGTATACAAATCTCTAGTATTTCAATTTTCTCTGCTCTTTTTTTAGTGAATCGTAAACTTAATTGTGCAGTCTAAAAAGGGGATGGAAAAATATATTCGACCCCTTTTATGGTGAATATTTACGTCAGCGTGATCACGCTCAAGTCCGCCATCTTGTCAACCGAAAAATAGCGCTTATCAAACCTAACTAAATATTTCAAACAAAACATAAAAGAAATTTATAAAATGTATTATGTACAAATAATTCCCTATATTTCAATTTTCTCCACTATTCATTTAATAACTTAGAAACTTAATCGTACACCCCAAAAAGGTGTTGAAGAATATATTCAACCTAATTTATGGCCAGTGTCCGCGTCAGCGTGATCAAGTCGATGTCCGCCATCTTGTCGATCCGAAAAATAGCGCTTATCCGATAGAAGCTTAACATTATACAGTACAAAATCGATTACCAGCCGGAACATACGTCGATCGTACGATCAGACACCACGTGCAATTGAGCAAATAATAGGAGAACAATAAAAAAAAATTCCATCGACCGTATTTGCACGCCAAAAGTCGTCCTCAATCTTAGTCGAGTCCTTTTCAACCCTTCACGCGACGAGCTCCTCCGTATCGATCGACGAAGGGAGCAAAAACGAGTTTCCTCGCCCTCGAGACACAAGCACGTTTCCGCAGAGAGAAAAAAAAAAAGAAATGCGTCCCAGCGATACGCGCGGGAATCGCGTCCCTCGATATGTGTGCCTACATAAAAACGTGTCGTATGAGGGGACGACCAAATTGCGCTCGCTGAGCACGCGATTATATCGAAATGCTCCTACGAGATATATTACAAACATATTACAAAAATGGAGTACCAGTGAAGTGTGCGACCGTGTTTTGCTTGTAAATTAACGGAGATACGTGAGCGGCTTAGAATCGAAGGTGAAGCGAGATCGTTTAGTTTCTCCGCCCAAGCTTTTGGCGTTGGGTCTTCTGACCTGTTGTTGAATACCGTTCCAGGGAACATTCTGTGTACCTCGAGCTTAAATTTTCTTTTAGTTCATTTACTGATTAGTAAATTTATCACGCCTGAATATTGTATATAAAGGGTGTCCCACCTAACGTGAGCACTTTCAATATTTCACTTTGTTTTGGAGATACAAGAAAACGTGAGGGGATAGTATTGTTTGGTTAGAAAGAGCGAATACTATAAGCAACAATTTTTCTTAAGGACGTTTGTTTAGAAATTTCAAGGTAGTCGATGGTTTTTTAAAATGGGATTACATATTTTTATCAGCGTGGCGTAGTAGTTGAGATCAAGACTAATCCAATGACCTAGAATACTGTGACTTTGGGTACGAAAAATCCACAAATGTATAGATTAAATAATAAAATAACTATGATAGAGGGATCAGTCGAAAAATGTATCAAAGCTGATAGACATCACTTTGAGCATTTAATGAAATAAATTTTCTACAAATCAAAAGCAAGTGAGATGATACTAAAGATACTCGTTTTACGTGGGACACCCTGTATATAACTAAAAACGAGAACTTTCATCCTAATTCTAATTCGAAAGATCCTCTGGTGACAGTGTATACAAATAAAAAAAAAAACACGACGATATTGCCACAGTTATTGCGTTCTAACAACCCGAGAAGAAATCTTTGAAAACAATTTATCTTACGATCGAAGGGGTTGTTATCGAGAAGCTGCAGGGGAAATCGTCTTTTCTTTGAATCGTCTCAAGATTCTCTCAAGCTTTTGTTTCCGATCCGTCGTGGTTCAGACGACGTTCAAGCTTCTCGATGAGGAAATCAGACGGAACGACGCGATCTTACGGTTGAACACTGGAAAGTCTTTTCTCGAGGACTTTTTTGGTTTTTGTGCTTCGCAGCTTCGGGCGAACATACGCGCACGCGAGTACCGGTTCTGGTCCTGATAAATCTGTACTCGCGGGGTGGATCACGGACATCTCTGGCACCGAAACGTGTTTCGGTGAACAGTTCGCGTGTCCCGCGTGAGCTTTTTGTTTTTATTTTACGGTGTAAACACGTATACGCGTACAGACGGGCGTTGTATACAATTTACGCGCGTCGGTGAGAAACGCTCACAGTGGGCGCTGCGTGGGTGTACATTTAACGATATTATGCGGAGAGTTCGACACGTACGAATTCTGGCAATTTGTCTTTCAACCCTCGGAAGCCGAACGGTTTTAGACGGACGCGGAAGACGAACGCAGAGTCATTTTGACTCATGGCTAAATTTCTATTGTACACGCGTTTCCAGAAGGAATTGAATATAAAATTAACTAATTGATTGAAATTATAAATACATATATACATAATCGCACGTAAATAAGCAATAAATCAGTACGACTTTGTCAACGTTGGGTCAAAGTGACTCTGCATTCGTCGTACGAGGGTTAATTGGCGAAGTGACAAATAAACAGTTACTGAATCATGTTCGATTTGGCGAATGACATTATTAATTCGGTTTAAATAAGGTTAAAGGTACGTTTTCACGTAACTGGGAATCGTGACTTTTATGGTGATGAGTAGACTCCGGGTTTTTATGCAAAATGACATTTTATAAAGTAATTTAAGATGACTGGAACTAAGATAGAAATTTCTTTCTTCCCTTAAACATCTTATTAAGTTAAAAATAAAAAAAGAAAGTTTTGTTTCTTATGGTATTTCGAAGGGCCTTGTAGGCTATAAATGCATAAAATCCGATATCTAGTCATGACACTAAATGTACCGAACGTTAATGACTTGGCCGTATAGGTCATAGTTTCCCAATCTTTTTTTGCTCACTACCCCTCTTCAAAGTTTTCTCTTGATGAGTGCCCCCTTCAACAAAATTTCTAAATGTATCTGTGCATATAATCTTTAAATCTTAAAAAGTTAAATTGAAAGTAAACAAAATAAAATAATTAGAATACCTCCTCAGATCTCCTCAGCGCCTACTTTGGGAACCTATGGTATAGGTCAAAGAAACATGGAGGAAATAAGACGTTTTAACATCGTAATATTTTTAAATGATTACGAATTGAAGATTTTTCCTGTAGAAATTTATAATTTTGCTAAATTGCTCCAACTACTTCACTCGACGCCATGTTTAAAACAAACTAAATGTTGTGAAATAACAAAGTAAGAATAACAAAGAACCATGACTTTTATTGTCACGTGAAAACGTACCTTAACTGAAAATAATAGACTTAATGAATATTTTATAAACGTTGTTAAGGGTAGTGTAAAGAAGAGAACACACGACGATAAACCTAATTCTTTTCAGTTGAATTTTAAAGTGCCTCCTTTGTCTTCCCTCGGTACACATGGCGGATATTGTTAGAGAATAAAAGCACGTTAATAATAATTTTCGTCAGTATGTCAAAGACCAAATTGCCGTCGTACCGCGAGCCTCACTGTCGCCGTTTATTCACTCTCGTCCATTTCGAGGAACAGCGATAAATTAATTACACACGTCCTCTCTCTCTCTCTCTCACTCTTTCGATGATATTCACGGTTTAGCAATTAGCAGACGCGACGGCACGCGTCTTCGTTGCTTCGATTACGATTAATTGTATAACTTTTTTTCATTTTTTCATTTTTTTTTTATTTAGATTGTTCTGAGCAATTGAGATCTAGTATTGGAGGGATTTCATATACCTGAAATGGTAGTCACTTGTCTCTTTCTCGTGTTCCAGTTTCATCCGTATTTGAACTTCTTCCACGTTTACTCGTCCTCCTCCTCCTCCCCGTTGCTCCGGTTCGTCAGTTTCACTTCTTCTAAATTCATTCACTACCCAAGAACGAGAATCCGTTCGTCCTCTGCGACGTCGATCGGACGATACCGTTTTTATTTAAAAGTCCTTCGTTTTGTTTTACCGTTTTATCCGTTCTCGTTTAATTAGAATACCCTCTATCGAAGTTACGCGTCTCATCCATCCGCCTCACACCGATACGCACTCACACTTATTTGAAAGTAACAATTGACATACGTTTCGTAACTTTCCTAGCGTCTAGACAATGTGTCCCTGCATTGTCTTGTGTATATACTTCGATTTGTTATCCCCACTTCTTCTCTTGTGGGAAAATTTTATCTTTTATTTCGACACTTTCGACACGTCACTGTATTCTCGAGATTAAAAAAAGAAAATAGTTTCAAACAAAGAAAACAAAGCGAAGCCGCGAGCTCGTTTATACGGTCTCGAAGTGTTCCGTTTCCGGTCGAAGGTGACAACGCGACTGACGATAATGGCCGACTCCCCGAGGATCGGTTGGCCGATCCTGCCACGCATGCGCAGTTCGACTTCTGATTTTTCCTTTCGGATTGTACGCATGATTTTTTGACCGTTGCGCCCACAGGGTTTCACGATAGGCCGAAAATTACATATTTGAATTTGATCGTGGTAAGAGTTCAGGGTAGTTTGACGATGTTCGTTACGGGTTATTGTAATGTTGGAGGAATCAGCAGTCATTTCAATTTTAATACACTTTTTCTTCAAAGAATTTTGTCGATACAATTAACCTACGAAAAGTAGTGTATATATTAATTTCAATTTCAGCCAATGTTACATCCAGGAAAGATTTTCTTCAATTTTCTATACTCCTACCACTCGTCATATGCTGCAACAGTGCCATAACTCATTTGCAATTTATGATTTTGAGTTATTAGTAAAGAAAAAATTGTTGTTTCCTGTACATTTTATCGGTTGACTCCTACCAGCGAATTTCCAAAACTTACCACATCAGGACTGTCATTTTTAAGGTGTGCATCTATTTGTTGCGTATCCTCGTATCGTATCACCGTTGCGTATCAGTGTATCATATCACTACACAATACATTTTTATACGCAACGATGCAACACTTGCCCATCCACAGTGATACACAACGGTGATACAATACGAGGATACGCAACAAATGGATACGCACCTTAATATGTCTGTACAAAGTGGTAGCAATCAAAACAATCAAACACGTTTTCCCTAAAATCGTGATTTTTTAATTACGTCGTTATTGCAGCAATCAATGAACCCGTCAGATGGTATCAAACTACCCTCAACAAACTTCAACCCCGTTCCCCACAACCAAATAGTACTCAACAGCAGAAACTAGCTGCTACTAGGCCCAATCCCCGTGTAGTCCAAAGCTTCCACTCGATGGTTCGATGAATATCGTCGATAAACAACACTCGATATAATACCGCGCAATGGGAACCTAACCTCAAAGAAACTGATCGACGTTACTAAAACGATGTCCGAACGATGTGGCCGCGTCCCGTGTAAAAATCGTCGAATTTGCCTCGTTTCCTCGTCGGTTCTGTGCAATCAGGGGTAAAGATAGATAATTACGACAAGAGGTGAATGGTTGGATAAGAAGCGAGGCAATTTCGACGTATACGTCTGTGATTAATTAATTCTAACGCGTTCGGAGACGTCACGGTGAGTTACGAGGATTCCGCTTCGGTATGCCTCAGTGATTCGCTCCTGCTGGTCTACATTGTTCGCTATTTTACGCCGAAACTCGCTATCCCTCGGTGCAGGAATTTCTCGATGAAAAGCTCGGAATCGAGGACGGCGATGTGCGCTGCTCGGCCAATTAGGGCGTTCGCTGTAGCTGGCAACGCGTGGTGGACGTCGTACCTGACCAGACTGACACCTGTGGTGGACATCACCGGGTACAGGATGTTGTGCACCATCTCCCGGTAGGCTACACCTGCAATGGAATTTATGTATTTTGAGTGGCGGAGCGTGTTAACTATTATAAACGCTTAAAGTTTTAAACCCTTTATTTAACCCTTTGCCCTACGATTTTTTTGACGTCTGCAGACTCCAAGATTACATTGTTGTCGACATGTTTTCCGGAAACGAAAGGAAATTCTGTACTTATCGCAACTGTATTTTTACTGTAAAAGATAAATATTAATGTTAGCAACGCGACATTTCATTTCGACTCAAAGAAAATCGAAAATAATAGTCTTCTTTGTTGAATCGATTTTGAAATCGTCAACACGAGTCTGACTCGATGTTGTAGGGCAAGGGGTTAAACCTCCTGTACACTATCCTGCTAAGGTGTATCTGTAATTTTTACATTTTTGGATAATGAGTAATTCGGATATTAAATATTATTTTTTAACTTATCCCTGAAGCAAAAAGCAGTTTTTATTGTTTATATCCCTGTATCTGTCTAAAAAAATTTTATGTATCTGCATTGGATCGTTGCTGTTGTAATACAAAATTAGTCTACGTAGCTACTTTGTTTATCACAAAAAACATTTAACATATGGTTGACATTATTAAAACTACTAAGTTGCTCTTTTTTAAATAAGTTTTTTGCAGATAGTGATATATGTATAATTAGCCTTAGGAGGGCAGCATAACGCATATAATGCAAAATCTACTTCTTAATATATTGGATATTGTTTAAATGATTATTAGTGTTATTTTTATATTATACTATTCTTATTACACTTTCTATTTATATTGACTTAACAAAGGATATTTGACATATTTCTGCATTGATGGACCATTCGTTTATCCCATAGGGACCTGTTAAGAAAGACTTCACTGTACTCGAGGAAAACGTCGATAGCTAAATCGGTCCATGTAGTCGCCCGAAAATATCTGTGTGTCGACTTCCGGTTGTATATTTCATCCATTAATTTTTTTTCTTCTACACAGTACGAATGCAATTCGATGGTGACAGAAGTCTTGATCTTTGACGACTAACATTACAATACGATACTATCATTATTAGAACCTGAAGATCTGTCGAGTACCTTGTTCGGAGGTGTCTCGTACAGCGGCTTTGCAGAGTTCTATACGTGCAGAATGAAGCGGCACGTATCGATCCTGCGCGCTGCCGCACAGAAGAACGTGTTTGAACTTCTCGAGATTGCTCTTCTGGCTGAGCCGGAACATGAACGACTGTCTGACATCCGGCGCGTCTTTCATAGCCAGCTGCAGCAGGGAGCCGGATTTTTTCAATTTCTGCATGAACCACATACCTGGGGACAAGGTTTACGGATCGATAATGCATAAAGTTCATCTTCTTTTCTAAGAAGTTAGTGTCTCAATCTAGAGACATTTACCTGCGTTAACTAAACCGCTGGTGTTATACAGTGTACCCAAGTGCGGACCGCTCAGACTGAGAAAAGTGTGCAAACGTGGAAGTAGCGGTCGCAATTGAGGCCGCGTTAGTGCGCTCCGTATAATGATGGTCCCTAAAGAGTGTCCGATGAAGCTCACTTTCGTCGGGTTCAGACCCGACGTCTTGATATGGTGCAGGATCTCGCCTACCAATCGATCGGTCATCGTGTCGAAATCCAAAAATGTGTCGCCCTGTTCGATGAATAAAACAATTAAGAACACTGTACCCATTTGTCAACGGGACCACCTTTTGAATCAAATTGTCGATCCATATTGAAGTTGGTTCAATATGATCCATGGGATTCAAGTTACTTTAACCAGGCTTACGATTTTTTTGACGACTGTACCTTAAAGCATTATTTTATCGTTAATAATTTCCCAGATATAAAAGGAATTTTATTCTTAGGGCAAAGTGTATTATTTACTCTAAATCTTAAATATTAATACCAATGAAACAGAATTTCACTTCGACTCGAAGGAAATGAATGGTATACAGATTTATTAAATCCAGTTTGAAATCGTCATTACATGTCTGACTCGATGTTATAAGGCAAGGGGTTAATATGATCTATGGGATTCAAGTTAATTCCAAATGGCCCGTGAAGCCTAAATTATTTCAAGTATTGCACGAATCGTGAGAAATAGACTGTATCGTCCGTCCAACAAGACGAGTTACTAGATATAACCAAAAGATTCAGGTGCTAAGTCCAGCGATTAGCTGGCAGCTGACTCTGTCTTTGTCCCACCTACAGTGATTCACAACTTTATCCACTTCTAATTGACCAGATTATTCACAAAAATACGAATTTTATTTCAAAATTCCGAAGCATTTATCACGAAATGATGATAGAAGTAACAAAAAGAAGAATATACAAACAGAAATTGCATAAAAGCTTTTACATCTAATTGTTATTTCAGAAGTTCGTGAACGAATATGTGAGTCATTGTAAATGGTAATCACCTCCTTTTGTTTATAGTTACTGTAGGAGCGTTGGAAAAATGAGAGGGCCCAAGCGGGATTCGAACTCACGACCCCCGGCACAGAAAACAGAGACTCTACCCACTTACTCCACGGAACCCTCCTATTTTCCCAAGATGTTATTTTGTTCCTTTTTGTTGGGTATGGAGTTTCCGATCCCACACTCGGCCATCCTGCGCTGACATTCGCCCTCGAATGTCTTCTGCGCACGTCTTTTCTCCTCGTCTTTTTGGTAACACTCTCCCACTTTTCAACTTCTGGGAGACGTGCCCCTCTCTCTTCGTCTTTTTCGGGTAACATTCTCCCCATTATTCATTTTTAGGAGACATGCCCCTCTCTTCGTCATCGTCATCGTCGTCGTCGTTGTCGCCTCGTGTGGTCGTAGATGCCTCCATCCCGGACGAGCCCCCAAATGTAGGAGCGTTGGAAAAATGAGAGGGCCCAAGCGGGATTCGACCTCACGACCCCCGGCGCCGAAAGCAGAGACTCTACCCACTACTCCACGGAACCCTCCTATTTTCCCAAGATGTTATTTTGCTCCTTTTTGTTGGGTATGGAGTTCCCGATCCCACATTACTGACTCGATTCATTGGATGAAGTACATATTAGGAATGTCAGTATAGTTTTGTTTGAGACCACCTCACCTGATTTCTCTCAGACATTAAAAAATCTAGATGCGCCCCGGGAAGACTGAGTTCTAAGTAGGTCTTGACAAGACGCAGATCAGCCGGATCGCCATCGAGACCGTGGACGCAGATGATCAGATGGGCACCTTCCGGCGAGAAGAGCCGATACTCGTTGCTGATGTGGAAGTACGGCATGGTCGAGGCCAGGGTCGGATAGTCACTAAGAGGCACATTCGATCTTAGGGGTTTTACCGACGACGGGGTCAGGAGGTCACCATATCCAAGGGAATGGGCACGTTTATGGAAACGCAACTGTGCTTCCTTGCGTTCTCTAGATAGGATAAGGTAGACAAAGAGAAAACATAACTACAAAACATAAAGACAGACCGTGGCAGCGGCCGAACCAAAGAAGCGGATCGAAACAGCTCTCGAACGAAAAATTGAAAACAACGCAACGGAAGTAAATAAATAACACGCAGCGTCATAGTCTTCACGCAACACAATCCAAAATAGAAACCTCTGTCGTTAAAACGTCAGGTAAAGAAACTAAAAAAACCAACTGAATCCAGGAGGACAACCGTCATGCTGGAGTAGCATCGTACCTGTAGATTTTCCCAGAGAAGTTCATCTGCCGCTTGAACTCGTCTTTGCACTTCTTGAAATTGACAGAGTCATCCTGGGTCGACTGTAGCAATTCCTTGCCTTCTTGGTAGCAATCCAAACAAATGTCTCTGGCTCCATACACAGGTTCCCTGTCCCTTTCCCTCTCCCTCTCCCTGTTCTTCTGGGGACTACAAGGCGCTGTCTTCGTCTGCTTTGGACTCCTGACTGGCTTCACGGTTTCGTACACGTGGTACAGAGGATTATCTATGATCGCTGGTGGATCCCTGAACTCCTCTGGCGGCGGAGGCTCATCTTGGAACATCTTTGGGGGTGGCAATCGGACCTCCTCGTAAGAGTGTTCCTCGACCGTGGTCTTTGTTGTTGGTCTCTCCTTTTTCGGCACTATTTTCGACAGTTTCTGTCGCAGTTGCTCGCTGGACAGCTTCGCGTTGCGACGCTGCTCCGAGCTAGACGTGTCCCCGCTGCTGACCCAACCGGAACACTCGGATGTTAGGTTGCTCGAGCTTGAACTCGTGGTCGGGCTGCTCGGCCGGGTGGACGGCGGGCTTAGCGGGTTCGGAATGACGGGAAGATTGTTGCTAAGGCTGTCTTTGCTGTCGCGTATCGGCATACAGGGCAGCGACACCGCGCTACGCGGCACCACCACCTTGTTCTGCGCCACTGGCACGCTGGCGCATCTCAGTCTTTTCGTGTTCGGCGGCGGAGCACCGGCGCTAGACGTGTCCGACGGCGTGGTGCCGTTTGTGGCCGGCGCCTCCATCGGGGACTTGATCGGCTCCACCTGCAGAACGACATTCTAGTTACTTAGGAACCTTCATAGGCATTCACGAAAAGTAATTCCGTATATGAAGTTCAGGAAGATTAAGCCAGGATCCTTTACGTGAAACGATGAGGGACTGGGCTCATTGAGGCCTGGCGGATGTAACGAAAGGTGAGAAAAGGGAAAGGGAGAAAAGGGAACGTTCCATCCTGGGCCTTCCAGTGGATTCGTCAATACTATTTAAAAAATACCGATTGACCTTCAAATGACCGTGAGAAAAGTTTCCACCGTTACATGTGCCCTCGAAATCGAATAATTCTCTCTTCATAAGTTTTTTCATAGAACAATAATTAAGGCAGATATGTAGGTAATCCCATTCAGCTGGTCAATTGTATATAAATCGTAGAGATAGAAATTTGGTGGTTGGTTAGAGGAAGTCGTGCTATAAGTAACCAAGTCTACCATAAAAGTCAGACGAACTTCTCCAGAAAGGTCCTATAATATTCACGACGGTAGAATTACGAGAAAGTGGATTCGTCAATACTATTTAAAAAATACCGATTGACCTTCAAATGACCGTGAGAAAAGTTTCCACCGTTACATGTGCCCTCGAAATCGAATAATTCTCTGTTCATAAGTTTTTTCATAGAACAATAATTAAGGCAGATATGTAGGTAATCCCATTCAGCTGGTCAATTCTATATAAATCGTAGAGATAGAAATTTGGTGGTTGGTTAGAGGAAGTCGTGCTATAAGTAACCAAGTCTACCATAAAAGTCAGACGAACTTCTCCAGAAAGGTCCTATAATATTCACGACGGTAGAATTACGAGAAAGTGGATTCGTCAATACTATTTAAAAAATACCGATTGACCTTCAAATGACCGTGAGAAAAGTTTCCACCGTTACATGTGCCCTCGAAATCGAATAATTCTCTGTTCATAAGTTTTTTCATAGAACAATAATTAAGGCAGATATGTAGGTAATCCCATTCAGCTGGTCAATTCTATATAAATCGTAGAGATAGAAATTTGGTGGTTGGTTAGAGGAAGTCGTGCTATAAGTAACCAAGTCTACCATAAAAGTCCGACGAACTTCTCCAGAAAGGTCCTATAATATTCACGACGGTAGAATTACGAGAAAGAAATCAGTACGATGATCAAAATCCCACCTTCAGAATGATCTTATTATTATTCTCGACCTCCAAAACACTCGTCGTCGGCGCAGGCGGCGGATGTCGGTACTTGGGAAGAGGCGCCGCCGTTGGATCTTGATACGCTGGCGGCGGCGGGGCAGGCTTCCGGTTCCTGTGACCGCACTTCCTGCTGTCCTCTGCGGGATGATCGATGTCCAGAACAGGGGCGGAATGCGGCCTCCTCCCGTATCTGTCCTTCCTCCTTTCCGACCGTTGTTCCTTCTTCGGTTCCATCGCCGACATCACCTTGTAGAACATCTCGTTGGCTGCCTCGCTATTATCGTCCACCTGTGATCTTCTGTGCTTCTCGTCGATGTACGACGCAGGTGCACCGTTCCGCGGTGACTTGACAGCTGGTCTTTCGTCTCTTCTTCTGGGCCTTTCCCTCCGAACGTCGTAGTACTCGCCACGATCCGGTTCGTCGACCAGTCTCTCGGTGCTCTTCGGTCTTCTAGGCCTATCTGGCTCGCCGTGGGTTCGTCCACTGGTGCCGTTCGTACGATAAAAGAATGAATCCGTGGTGGTCGTGGAGTAATTCGATCGTTTGTACAACGGATCCGCTAGTGGTGAATGACTGCTCGACGTTCCGCCGCCGTTTATCGATTCCTGCGTCTCGCGGTTCCGCTGACTTTGACCAGAACCGGTCTTCCCGATCGTATGGTACCTACGGGACTCTAACCCGTTAGCCTGGTTGTATTTGGTGCCCACTTGATGCGTTTGCTTCCTCGAGTTCCCTCTGTACGTCACCCGATCCAGAGTCGCGGTGTGAAGCGGCTGCTGTTCCTGCAGGATCGCTCTTCCCGGGCAGGAAGCTGTTCTGATCGTTCACCGTCGTCAGCGGCTGACGGGCTGCTAACCGGTGGCTGCGGGGCTCTAGTCGAATTCTTCTCGTATCCAAAGAGTGATAATCTAAAAATGAAATATGTTTACCAGCCTAGTTACTTCAACATGACCCCTGCGATTGAAGTTACTTCAATGTGATCCATGGGACTTGAGTTATATCAACTATTGCACTAATCGCGAGAAATATATTATCCAGATGGTACAATAAAATAATCGTCAATCGACCTTTGGTCCAAGTAGCTTCGAGTAGTTACTTGGGCCAACACCAATCCTCTTTCTGTCAGCTCATACAACAATATAGCAACCAATTGCATTCTTACTCTCAAATCTATCCACTGTTTCTGCTATGTATACTCGATCGATATCATATTAAAGTTTAACTCCACACCTTCCGGGACATTGCTGCCCTTATTCTCGCTCCAGCAGTCGGTCATCTGGGCATGTTCCATCGCCCCCACGCAGGTGGGCACCGTGAGCGTCTCTCCGCAGGACTGTTTCGACGGTCTATACCCAGGCAACTGTCCTCCTGGAGGCAACTCTGGGAACATCGCTGCGAGGAGCGACGTGATGGAGGTGTTTTGGGGTGGTTCAGCACCAGCATCTGCGTTGACTTGGCGCGCGGTAGGGGGACCACGGGCGTCGAGCCCAGGGATGGATTCGGCGCCGAGCAGGCCTGCTGCCCCGAAGGAGGGAAAAGTGTGCTACTGGACGGTGCTGTCGACCTCTGTCTGCCCCTCGAAGGCACTGTCGCTGGCGGCGTGACGTTTCTGCCTATGCCCCTCTGCCTGGGGAACAATTGCGTCGACACTGATCGGGGAAGCGTCTTCGGCGAGGTCCTCGGCTGTACCGGCGTGATCTCTGGGCCTAATTGATCCAAGGATTTGCTGTGCCTCGCGGGAAGTGTGGATGGTGTTAGGGTCAAACGACCCTGGATCGATCCGATGTCCTGGTTTGCACCTTCACTTCTTGGGGACCAGATCCCCATCGTTCGCGACTCCAGGATAGCCGCGATCCCGCAACTGCAGTCGTCCATACCGGGGACTGGAAGTGAAGATGATGTTAAACTTTTCTTTTAATGTACTATTATAGGTTCTGGATCCTACACAGGATGTTAATGGAAATGTTGGACACTTTCAGAGGGTGGACTTTGAATGCCAAAACTGGGACGAAAATCAAACATGACGAAATTGTGTTCGGGGCTTGGTTTATGAGTTGTTAATTGTTTAAAATACAATTAGAGCGGAGGTGGGTAAGGCGGTATAAAACAATAGAAATTGTCCTCACTTCATTTATTTAGTACAATCGGTAAGCGCGAATACTAGTGCAGTGTTGGTGTTGTAACCTCGGAGGCTTACCATCGACTGCCTACTCTCGCTGCATTTCTTAAATCCCTCGGAGTTAGAAAAGGCAAAAATATGGGAGAGAAAAAGAAAAGAGAATAGAAAAGGAAAACTTGAGAAATCAGCGACAGGAATAGGGACAGCGGAAAAGAGTCATAAACAGAGAAAGCTAAGAGGTAGGCGAAGGACCGTGACTAACGAAAACCAGAACTCTGGCGACGCTCTCAAGGATGCGTTGGAAATTAGTGAAGGGCCTGTCACCAAATGTGCGACCAACAGACAGGAAATAGAGAATAATAGCGTAACAGAGTTGAAAAGGAAAGAGAAATTTTTAGAAGCAAAATATGCATTGTAGTTGTACCCAGCTGTACACGTCTTACAGAAGTATGTACCTTGACCCTTAAGGTACAGATGTCATTCGTACCTTGATATTCAATGTTTCTGTTGAAATTCTTTCGTTAAATCTGTACAATATCAATATAAATGTCACCTTTGCCCGTTGACAATTGCCGTACTAGGAAAAATTGACCTGGAGTTGTCAAGGATTAAAACGTATACTTTTTAATGGTACAATTCTAAACGAGACTCGAGATTCTTATCTCCCCCTCTAATGCTGTTTCCGCGCTTGGAACATGTAAATTTTGACTCCCGAATGAATTTACGACCAGGCTATATACGTTTCAGGGCCTAAACTGTATCGTAATTGGGCCTCATCTACTCTGGTAGATCATGGTCGATTTCTGTGGTGCCAGTAAAACTTTCACTATGTCTTACCACTGTTAATTTAATCCATGGTGTATAATAAAAGGGTATTACTATTATTTTATGTATCCTTCATCGTGGGGTTATTTTGTATATCTGATTAGGGTATTAACTATCTGACATTTGTGGTCTGCCTAGGTGGGGTTTCATATATTTTTGATGTTTGGGGTTTGTGGAATTATTTTGCTCACTTATCAGGATCATCAGGACTCTTACCGCTGTTTCTGTGCCTCTGCTTCATGTCCACGTACTGATCCTCGAATATCAGAGGCAACGAGTGAAGGTCTCCGTCTAGTTCTGGACAGTGCACAGGTAAAGGCGGCAACGACGCTAGGTACCGTGATCTTCTGGCGGCCTCACTAACCGCTTGGTAAGATTGGTAGTTCGCGTCGTAGCAACCCCAGGCGGACGTTCTGGGATTCTCGAGTACGAAGAAACCTTCTGCGAAACGTTTCACCTGAAAAACAATGTTTTTTTAATTGCATAGACTATTGAGAAATAAAGTTCGTAGTCTCTTTGGAAATTGACTAGATTTACAAAATAAAGTATACTAGGTATAATATATTCGTCGGGACACATGACAATTATTATCCAGAACAAATATACAGAAAATAGTTAGCTAACAGAAGATACAGCGGCGGACAAAAAAGTTTACCAATTCCCTGATTTTTAATTTTTATTATTTTTTAATACCAACTTAAAATCTTAATATACTGAGTTCTATAAAGCTTTTAATTCTCTATCGCAATATATATTAAACACATTTTTAAACACCAGAACTACCAACGATAAACGCATATCTTTTTCGATCGATCGATAAATATGGCAAACTTTTGAAAATTTATAAATTTATAAATTACCTAATTTCTTTAATGTCGTACCGTAATAAAAGTTACAAAAGATCTGAGAAAATAGATTGTTATAACATTTTAATCATCGTTGTAAGAATGTATTGGTAAATCATTTTGACTTGCTTGGCAGTTCCAACATTAAGTTGACGTTAAAAAATAATATAAATGAAACAAATAAAAAAAGTATTACCCTTTTTGTCCACTATTGTAAATCACAAAAGATTAAAGAAACTTGTTAACCAGAGAAGGTAGCTGATTGAGAAAAATACGTGTTTAAGTGAAAAATAAAAAAAAGTTGAAAAGAATACCGTCACGTAAAGCGAGTATCTACCCTCAGTTGATGATGGATCCTCGCGAGATGCTGATGAACAGCCTCGCGTCCCGAGAACGCTTCCAGAAAATGCTGCCACAGGACAATGTTTTGTGCGCAGAGTTGAGCGATATCAGTCTCCTCCGAGTCCATCATCTGTAATTACACAAGATCGCTGGATGTCGACTGAAAGATCCCCAGAAATCGATGTCTAAAAGGAGGTTCGATTACATGGGAAAAATATCGAACAACCTTGGTGATCTCTTTGTGCGTGTTCTGAGCGAGCTCGAGGGGCCGTTGCTGGCAAGAGGGCAGAAGCCGTGCCAGATCAGCCAATTGCTGAACCAGTTTCGCGTGCTGCAACCTCGTGGCCGAACCCACGCACTTCGTTGTGGTTTCCTGGAAAAGTGTCACTGATCGAAAATCCTTTTTGCCTTTTAATTCATTAAGAAGCGAATAACTCACGATATTCCCCAACGAAGCATTGTTGTCACCGTTCGCCGTGGACTGCTTGAACTGCAGCCATGGCTTTCCTCCGCGTGGCGCGCTGCGAGAATATTATTCGGTTTATTAACTTCATTTTAATCTAGTCATGTGAATGTTTCGATGGTAACGAGTGTGAGGAATGAGAAACTATTAGAATATAGACTGGTCTTTGAATGTATTGAAGTTTTATTGTATAATCTAAATTGGGGATGAATTAATCGAAACGTCGAAACCTCGAAGTCCTTCAAAATTCAAGAAAGTTTCGAGAATTCGAAACTTTGCACTTTTTTCGTGGTTCGAAATTTTGGAAACCCAGGTAAGAGAAAGTATATATTCGATATGTCTTTAAAATAAAATATTTTTTTTACAAAACAAAATCAGCGCTTCAGGTTTTGAGAAGTTGGAGTTTCGAAGTTTTACAAAGTTTTGGATTCGAGTTTGGAGAATTAAAATATTAGGTTCCAACCCACCCCTACTATAAATCGATCTATTCACCGAGATTATTGATCATAGAATGAGCAAGAAAGTTTATTTTTTATTTTTCACGAGTGGATCTTAAATAGACACTCACCAGCTTTGCACGTAGTGGAGTATACTCTTCCTGTGCGAAACGACGAGAGACGGAGAATCGTGTGGAAAAAACAGAAAAAGACGATTCATCGTGAATAACCGTAAAATAAAGGGTGAATACCCGTTAATAAAATAAAATAAAATTAAATTAAATAGCGGTATAATATTAGTTAATTGAGAAACAAGTTAATACAGACTTGATGTAAGGCTGATGAAGAGCCACGAGGCAGGCGTGGATCGTGATAGATACAGCGGCGAGATGGAAATAATCGAAGAGGACTGGAAGATGATAGTGAAGCCCCTTCGTGGGCGCGAAGTTCAGCTGCAGCGCCCTGAAAAGCGAGGAAAAAAAAACCTTACGATGGCACGTCAAACGTTCCAACCTGGAATGTCGGAGGTGCACGCGGCCAAGGTTATCGATCACTTCATCTATTAGGTTTGTGGGGTAGTTCACCGTCTTGGAAAAAGTTCATGAGACAATTTTTTCCTCTACAAGAAAGACGAACACTTTTCGGATAACTATTTACTACTTGCAGATAGTATTGCATAAAATTGAATACTTAAACATTTTCATTTAAATGTTTTTCCTGTTAGACTTCTTGAACGATATCAGTTGCGAGTAGAAATGGTAAGAAGATACTTGGAACATCTTGTTTACAGATCAAACATTTTTAAGATGCACTAAATTATAAACAACTCTCATATTATATTTTACGCATGTGTAACACTGCGATGTATGTGATAAAAAATTGTGACATTTCGAAAAATGAGGCAGCAGTATTCAAGCGCGTCAGGTTTGACGGACGCCATCTTGAATTTTCACTAGGAAGCAATACTTTAACCTAAAAGTACCTAGGCCTTGAAAAAGAAATGGCGTACTAATTATTATAAATCATGTATGATCGTAAACTATAAAATACCCATATAAATTAAATAACACTACTCTATCATTACGTATTCCCTAAATGCAAGAACTCACATTTCCAAACCGGAAATTACTTGGGTTCAACGGACGCCTTTTTGAATCTCCACTATGAAGCAATATTTCATCTGAAAGTATCTATACCTCGTAGAAGGAATGCTTTACTAACCAAATCCTCTATACTTGTAAATTATAAAACCACTATTTTATCATTATGTATTCCCTAAATGCAAGAAGTCACATTTCCAAACCGGAAATCACTCGGGTCCACCGAACGCCATTTTCAATCTCCAATATGAAGCAATACTTTAACCTAAAGGTATCTTCATCTCAAAAACGAAATGCTCTACTAATTAAATCCTCTACATTTACAAACTGAATAAACATAAAAATAATAGAAATAGCACTACTTTCCAATTACTCTCTAACTGCAACAAGTCATATTTCCAAACTGGAAATCACTTGGGTTCAACGGACGCCATTTTCAATTTCCACTACGAAGCAACACTTTAACCTAAAAGTATCATCACCTCCAAAAAGAAATGCTTTCCTAATTAAATCCTCTACATTTACAAACTATAAACTACTTATATAAATTAAATAAAACTACATTCCAATTACTCTCTAAATACAAGACGTCACATTTCCAAACTGAAAATCACTTGGATTTAACGGACGCCATTTTGAATCTCCACTATGAATACTTTAACCTAAAAGTATCTTCATTTCAAAAACAAAATGCTCTACTAATTAAATCCTCTACATTTACAAACTATAAACTACTTATATAAATTAAATAAAACTACTTTCCAATTACTCTCTAAATACAAGAAGTCACATTTCCAAACTGAAAATCACTTGGGTTCAACGGACGCCATTTTCAATTTCCACTATGAAGCAATACTTTAACCTAAAAGTATCTTCATCTCAAAAACGAAATGCTCTACTAATTAAATCCTCTACATTTACAAACTATAAACTACTTATATAAATGAAATAATACTACTTTCCAATTACTCTCTAAATACAAGAAGTCACATTTCCAAACCGAAAATCACTTGGGTTCAACGGACGCCATTTTGAATCTCCACTATGAAGCAATACTTTAACCTAAAAGTATCTTCATCTCAAAAACGAAATGCTCTACTAATTAAATCCTCTACACTTACAAACTATAAACTACTTATATAAATGAAATAATACTACTTTCCAATTACTCTCTAAATACAAGAAGTCACATTTCCAAACCGAAAATCACTTGGGTTCAACGGACGCCATTTTGAATCTCCACTATGAAGCAATACTTTAACCTAAAAGTATCATGACCTCAAAAATGAAATGCTCTACTGATTAAATCCTCTACATTTACAAACTATAAACTACTTATATGAATAAAACAACACTACTTTCCAATTACTCTCTAAATACAAGAAGTCACATTGCCAAACCGAAAATCGTTCCCAACGTTCCAAGTATCGATTACCAAACGTCTTTCGCCTAATCCACCACCCATCAGTCCCCACATACCAAACTCCAGAATCTCTCTGTTTAGCGCCCAAGATCCTCGAACTTTACCCAAGCACTCCACAGCCAAAAGACGCGACGGGAACCATCCCACGGGTCTCATATAACCACGTCGTCGTCGAGTAATCTCGACGGCTGGAACCGCAATATCGTTTCCCGAGGATCATTCCCCGGATCGTCACGGATGGCCGGGCTTTCCCGAAGGAGTGTGGGGGCCCTGGTTCGCGCTTGACGAAGAAGACGCTCACCTAGACGACACGCATGCCATGTTCCCGGGCTGCGTCGGCTCGCTGAACCATAGCTCGACGCCGAGATTGAAGTGGGTGCGGGAAAGCACCTCCTCGATCTTGTGGCTGTGCACGAGCACGTGCGCCCGGAATAGGACCGAAGTGCCGAGTGTCACCTCCTCGTTTCTGTAGAGGATCTGAAAGCGTTTGCTCGTCCCGGGCGCCTCCAACGAGTCTGGAACAATGGAACCCCGGAATTTTCGGCGTGAACGGGATGGGCGCGGTGATCTTATATCTCTGTGGATTCTCGTCTAGACAACCGTTGGATACATTAAAGACCAACGTTCTGATGCATCCTGGGAATGAGTCAGGTCTGAGCACCTTGGATGGCTCGTCTACAGGGTGTTTCGTTTAACTGGAAACGGTGGAATATCGATTAAAGTTATAAAAAAAATGTTCGTACAAAAGTTGTTTGGTACAAAGGAGGACATTACGTGGTATAAATAATTTTTCTGTAAGTGTAGTTGTGGGGGAGATATCAAAGTCAAGTTAATTTTTTTAAACGGAACCCTGTATTTTTTTATTCGTATTATGATTGTGTTTGTTGAGACGAATACAATGAACTGCCACTTGATATCATTCCCTGTAGTAGGAAGTGATGAATTAGTAAGATTTTAAGGAGTCAGTTCAACGCAAATCGCCTAGTTGAACCCTACGTGACGAAATAGAAACAAACGATGAAACAAATGAAAACTGTACGTGTTTTGTTTTCAACAAAGAAATGGCCAACACTCTTAAACTGACTGTTATTTTCAGTGTTATTTTTTTGATAACTTTAATCCTTCGTGAGATATTCCACCGTTTCCAGTTAAACGAAACACCCTGTAGATTGTTTCAACCCCTGTTGCCCTATGACCGTACCTACAGTGACTCGTAGATTTGTTCACAGGAGAATATTCAGTTTTTTACCACTGTCAATTTAATATCGAAGGACAAATTGAGTTAGCAAAATATATGATTGAGGGTTGAGAATAGACAGCAATGTCTACATGAGTGCGACAAACTCGGGACCGCTTCGGAGCATTCATGATAAGGAGGACAGGTTTATTTTTTTTTTCTCGAAGCAAAGACCCTGCTTAGCTTTTGTTTACTCTGTTTTTATTGGCTCTTGAATGGGACTTCCTAGTGGTGAGGGTAACGGCGTTGCTCGTGTCGCATTCATCGAGAAATCACTGTACCTTTATTTCGACAAAATTACGTACTAAACTGCAAGTATAATTTCGAGACTTAGGAAGACTTATAATAAATATAAAAATTATGAAGTTACATAAACAGATGTTGCATATGAATTTTTACATTCAATCGTTATTTCGGAAGCATGTGAACGAATATGTGAGTCACTGTATACTGTAGGTACTGTTTATTTGGAAACTACGGATGTTTATGTACTATTTTGACAAATAAAAATTGTTGATCATGAAAGTCATTGAAAAGAATCGTGTGAAGATTTGTGTACTTTATAAGAAGGTAAATGGGTACTTTGATGACGATATTCAGGTATCCTCTTGGAATCTAAACTTCGTTTTTCAAACTTGCTTTTGAACCTGACGATATTGGGAATTAATTTTAGTAGATCTTCTGAGTAAAATGGCTGCCATTTTGAACAAGAAATCCATTAGAAGCTAACTATTAACGCTTGCTCTCGATTTGTTATTACTAAACTATAGAAGTATCTGCCTTAATACCAATTTCGAAACAGTCTGACACGTTTGTATTTCATTTTGATCCCAACTAATCATCATCAGCAGCAGTTACAGACTCTTATTTATAACCTGTGTATCTCAGTGAAATAATTAATGAAGTTAAATCAGGTTTTTCTTCGATCCTGATGGAACCCTTAACAGAGTGAACAAACTTCTGTTTGATTCTGCAGTCTCTGTAAATTGGTCCATAAAACTCTATATTTGCATAAACAGTCACAGTCTACTTATTACCCTCTAAAACCATGAATTACACGAAGATCCGTAGTTTACCTGCAATATTGAACTTTCACCACCGTCTTACGTATTTTATCCACCCGCCAAGTAGCTTTTGCTCCACGTACAATGTTCGTGACTCGTGGAACCGTTTCTCAAACTTTCTAATGCTATCGCCGTCCGAGTGCAGTTCGGTTTGAACTAGTTTGCCGTTGTCTAACTGAGAGCCGGTAAGTGAATTCAGTCGGAGTTTTCTCCGGCGAGACGAGTGCAATGTACCAAAAAGTTTCTTATTCCCCCTATCCAAGGGGATGGACGGGGAAAGTTCAGCGAATCGGTGGACACGCGTCGGAGTTACATCCGACCGAGCATAATTCATGGAAACGTGCTTTATTCCCATTTTCATCCTACTTCCTATCGTACATTGCACAAATAAAAGATCGGCCGCCTTTACTGGATTTATGGTTCGGTTATGGTATCGAGAAACTTTCTAAGAAACGACGACAATCTCTAGGATAACGATCTTTTTACTACCGACGAGAATCCACTTAAATTCAATTCAATAAGTATCGACAAGAATAATAAGAAAACGACCATCGATGACGCCACAATGGCGTCACGCGAGTGTCAACTGGGCCAAGTTATGCAGAAAGCTATCAACACTTTGTTGGGGGAGAGTTTTTGTGTTAGCAAATATACATCTTCAGGTGTTATAAAAATTATTACAAACTATCACTTCACTTTTATTTGTCGAACTTTACATATAGGAGAACCGATTTTTCCCTATTTTTTACTATTCTGGTTATTATTACGTCAACAGCTTTCAAGCTTTTGTTTTTGAAAAGACGTACTACCATGTCGTCAAAGTGTCAATAATAAATTTAGTTTCAAGACTTTAATTAGAAAAACAAGCAGTTTTATATCTATTGGGCATATTTAATTTTCTGTTACTGTTTTACGATGCTTTTAAAGGGTTTATTTAACAGTGAGTAGTATGGTTAATATCATTTTAAATTCCCTACAGATACTTTTAATTTTCTATGGCTTGGCAGTTTTAATGATTGTATAATATAAGAGTTGTCCTAGGGGTCGGTAATTTCTTGCAAAATAAAGATCACAAAATTATTAAATCCCCACTGTGTTTAACTTTTTGTCATTTCGAGACTTTCTGCATACCTTGGCCCAACTGGAATACTGTTCACATATCCAAAATTATTGAATTCCTGTTGCATTCGTATCAAAACCCATATTTTCTTAATTGCAAAAACATCCGACCACTGGTGTTAACCTTTCGAAGACGAATTATACGAAATCGACTCTGCAGAAGAATGCAGGGTCATTTCGACCCGTAGTAAAATTTCTCTTGTACCTATATCCCAGAATAAATTATACATAAAATTTTAGGTACATTTTCAATTTCATATATTACATTTATATCATATCTCCAAAAAATACGGCAATATTTATAGATGAGTCAAAATGACCGTGCACTTTCTGTACGAGGGTTAAGTCAGTGTGAAACTAAAATATAAGAGTTGTCCTAGGGGTCGGTAATTTCTTGCAAAATAAAGATCACAAAATTATTAAATCCCCACTGTGTTTAACTTTTTGTCATTTCGAGACTTTCTGCATACCTTGGCCCAACTGGAATACTGTTCACATATCCAAAATTATTGAATTCCTGTTGCATTCGTATCAAAACCCATATTTTCTTAATTGCAAAAACATCCGACCACTGGTGTTAACCTTTCGAAGACGAATTATACGAAATCGACTCTGCAGAAGAATGCAGGGTCATTTCGACCCGTAGTAAAATTTCTCTTGTACCTATATCCCAGAATAAATTATACATAAAATTTTAGGTACATTTTCAATTTCATATATTACATTTATATCATATCTCCAAAAAATACGGCAATATTTATAGATGAGTCAAAATGACCGTGCACTTTCTGTACGAGGGTTAAGTCAGTGTGAAACTAAAATATAAGAGTTGTCCTAGGGGTCGGTAATTTCTTGCAAAATAAAGATCACAAAATTATTAAATCCCCACTGTGTTTAACTTTTTGTCATTTCGAGACTTTCTGCATACCTTGGCCCAACTGGAATACTGTTCACATATCCAAAATTATTGAATTCCTGTTGCATTCGTATCAAAACCCATATTTACTTAATTGCAAAAACATCCGACCACTGGTGTTAACCTTTCGAAGACGAATTATACGAAATCGACTCTGCAGAAGAATGCAGGGTCATTTCGACCCGTAGTAAAATTTCTCTTGTACCTATATCCCAGAATAAATTATACATAAAATTTTAGGTACATTTTCAATTTCATATATTACATTTATATCATATCTCCAAAAAATACGGCAATATTTATAGATGAGTCAAAATGACCGTGCACTTTCTGTACGAGGGTTAAGTCAGTGTGAAACTAAAATATAAGAGTTGTCCTAGGGGTCGGTAATTTCTTGCAAAATAAAGATCACAAAATTATTAAATCCCCACTGTGTTTAACTTTTTGTCATTTCGAGACTTTCTGCATACCTTGGCCCAACTGGAATACTGTTCACATATCCCAAATTATTGAATTCCTGTTGCATTCGTATCAAAACCCATATTTTCTTAATTGCAAGAACATCCGACCACTGGTGTTAACCTTTCGAAGACGAATTATACGAAATCGACTCTGCAGAAGAATGCAGGGTCATTTCGACCCGTAGTAAAATTTCTCTTGTACCTATATCCCAGAATAAATTATGCATAAAATTTTAGGTACATTTTCAATTTCATATATTACATTTATATCATATCTCCAAAAAATACGGCAATATTTATAGATGAGTCAAAATGACCGTGCACTTTCTGTACGAGGGTTAAGTCAGTGTGAAACTAAAATCGCCGTAGCGTCAACAAAATGGCGGAAAGAGAATGCACTCACGATTCCGCATCTGGTTGACCTCCACCTTGACAGGGAGTTTCGGCGACACTCGCAGGGCGGTACGAATCTGGTAATACCTGCGAAATTGGAAATCGTCGATGAGCCCCCAGGCTTAAGCCCTCGCAATTACGTGGCGCCCCCCCCCCTTCTCAGAACGGTTCTGCCCTATAGGGCGTCGCCAAAAGCCGGATCCGCTTACCCACGCTGGAACAGATCGACATTGTAGAACTTGCAAAGCTCGAGGGAGAACTCGAGAGTGGCCTGTAGATCGCTCATCTCGATCCTCCGCGATGCCAAAGAGCCACCCCTCGGCCCCGTTTCGGCCTCCCACGGAGATCCCCTTAATCGCACGAAGACCAGCCTCTGCCGCGACGATTCACGAGCGTGGACTGTTCAGCTCCTGGCCGGGACTCTCGACTCGTTTCTGCCATCATGGGGACGAACCACCCTCAGCGGCGGGGCCACACTGGGAAAAAAATTAATATTCGATGACCGGTTGAAAACGTTCTTCGTTTAACGTCGTTCGAAAAAATTCATTTATATTTAGAACGTGATGGGACCTTTAATTTTAGATGATTAACCTTTTGGGTACATTTGACGTGTGAGACTCGTCATCTGCTTACTTGGGCGAAGTTACGGTGGACGAGTCTGACTCGTCATCTGAATTTAAGAAGCAGGCGTTGTTCTTGTTATATATAAATATTTCTATTTTGTTTCATTTATATATTTATTTATATTTTGTAACTAAAATGCTGTTTCAAAAATATATTTATATCACCAATATAAGTATATTCCAAATAGAATTTATTACTTTTACATATTAATCCATATAGCGACAAATTAAATCCGTCCCATGGGCATAAAAATCTTCAAATAATTCAGTACTCAAAGGATTAACACGTTCCGTGCTACATGTACCACCGGTGGTACACGCAGCCTGAATGGGAAATTTAACGTGTACCATCAGTGGTACATATGCCACGGAACGTCTTAATGTTCAACTGTAGTTTAAAAGAAGACCAACAGCCTCTATTAACAAAAGACACACATTTTCGGTAATTTATGACTTGAAGAACGACATAAAGATTGTCTGGCTACGTACGGCCTTTTTCACTGTGGCACGGAACGTGTTAAACTGTTCTGTGACTGAGTATACTGTGGAAGTTTATGCAAATTCACAGTTTCAAATGCGAATATATAGGAATTAAAATGAGACTGAATTTTGGATTGTGTAATAGAGATTTTACTACGTTCGTGGTAACAAATGAATAATATTAAACTATATTAATGTCTTCATTTTATTGTATTTACCATATTAAGGGATGCTTTAAATGTTTAAACATTCGCAATCTTGTTATTACTAACCATTTCCAAAAATTATGATTGAAAGAATACACGTGATATTTTTGAAAAATATTATTTTGATTGAGGCAGAATTATGATGGTCACGTTTAAAAATAATGAGAAATTAAGGCAGTAGTTACTAAGAAATCTGCATGGCAAAGTGCCGTTTTCTGTGAAACGTGAATTCGAGGTGCTAATATTTACTGTAGTTTAGTAATCTAGAGTTACGAGAGCAAACCAATTTCTGTAAATTAATCTGTACAGATGTATATTTATATATACATATATGTTATCTACTAGTATGCTGTCTGCGAAGCACTATAGGTAATGAATTGTTACAGGCAATCCTCGTGTAACAAGGTTAGATTTTCGAGAATTGCATTTTTATGGGAATTCGTGTTACACGAAACTAAAAACTGGTATGAAAACACGCACAAAAAATAAGCTTAGCTTCAGAAAGCTAATAAAACTACACTGCAGTGCACAATTTTTTAACCGTGTTATTCGAACGTTTCTCGAACTCTCTGTTATAACAAAATCATGTTATAAATAGACTGCGGATTTTATGCATTTATAGGCTTGCAGGGCTCTGAAATAAAAAATAAAAAACAAACCTTTCATCAAACGTAACGAGTTTAATATTTTATTTTGAGTCTAATAAAATACTTAACCGTGGCAAGAAATTCCATTTGCTCTTGTCTTTATGAATTACTTTAGAAAATGTGATTTCGCATAAAAATCCGCAGCCGAGTTATAAGAATCCAGTGTTACAGGGGGACTTCCTGTACTAATAATTACGTTAAAATATAAAAAAAAAGCGTAATCTACGTGAAACAATCAAATTTTACCCTCAAAACAGGTGTTCCAACGAATGGAAATATGTACACGTACATTTTTCGTGTCCTCTGCGATGTCAACCGTTTGTAATAAATAAATAAATATTTCTAGGCTGCTTAATAGTTCTTATTAGACTCAAAATAAAATATAAAACTCGTTACGTTTGCTCTTCTCTTTATGAATTACTTCTTGTACTAATAATGACGTTAAAACGTAAAAAAAAAGTATAATCTACGTGAAACAAGTAAATTTCCATCAAAACAGGTGTACCAGCGAACGGTGGTTTGACAACGCAGGTGTCCCCTGCGATGTCAACCGTTTCTAATGAATAAATAAATATTTCTAGGCCGCCTAATAGTTCTTATTAGACTCAAAATAAAATATAAAACTCGTTACGTATGCTCTTCTCTTTACGAATTACTTTAGAAAATGTTAATTAGCATAAAAATCCGCAGCCAAATTATAAATATCCAGTGTTATAGGGGTACTTCTTGTACTAATAAATACGTTAATACGCAAAAAAAAAAAAAGGATAATCTACGTGAAACGATTAAATGTCCCTCAAAACAGGTGTTCCAATACCAAGTAACGAAAATATGTACACATACATTTTCCTCTGCGATGTAAACCGTTTGTAATGAATAAATAAATTATTTCTAGGATGGACGAGGTGCTTGAGAGTCGACGAGCTCCGCGGAAGCGCGGAGCCTCGTTCTTGAAGGTGCTTCAACTTCCGCCGAAGCACGAGTGGATAAAGGTGTATTGTTGCGCACGGCTCGGTGGGTCGTGGCAAGTTTTTTTTTTCTCTTATCTCTCTCTCTCTCTCTCTCAATCTTTCTCTTTCACTCTCGGGACAAATAGGCCCCGGGAGTCACTGTTACGAAAGTTTTTTAACGATCGTCGTGACCGGCCCGCGACACAGAGCTTTTCTTCGCGAAATGGGGGTGGTTGGATGGAATCATCGTTGGGTTTAACAGCTCGAAACTTCGCGAACCGACCAGGGTGAAATTGTTCAAGGGGGCGAGCCAGCGCGCGGAAATCTCTGTTTGCACTTGTTTCTCGGCTGGAAACTAACTTTCCTCCCCCCCTCCCCCAGCACCCCTCCATCGGGTTCGCGGGATTGAATCGTTGGGGAAAAGGGATTGTCCCGTGTCGAGCATTCTCTAATTAAAGTTACGGGTGGGATGATTCAGCGGAATGAACGTAATTTGAATTACGGACCGAAACGGCGAGCGTGAACTCGGCTTTTCTGCTTGATGCTCGGCTTTAGAGGTTTCGTTGTAGATCGTTTAGACGTTAGTCGATTGTGACTGTGTATTTCATATGTTTTTTCATTGTCGAGTTTGGAAACGTAAAACGTTGCGAATAATAGTTTCGGCTGCAGCAAGGAATCTAAGGTGAAGAAAATTGAAACAGAAGAAGCAGAAATTTTAAGGGTTATTAGAATAATTCCATGGTATGTTACTAAGAATGATAATAGAAGATTCTTAAGTATTAATAAAAGTCGAATTGATAATCACTAGACTGCGAATGTTTCTGCAAAGTTACAATTTTGAACACTAGCATATGAAAAACAAAAGTGCACAGGATTTTGTTTCTTATAGTAGGGATTTTAATGTGTTAATAATTATACATACATAATATTAAATTTTAGTAGACTTTTTATTTTCCTACGTTTTGTAACTCGGGGATGCTATAAATGCATAAACGTCCACAGTCTAATAATCATATCAATAGAACAGTAACTAACTGGTATACACCCATCAACCGTGGACTTGAAACATTCGATAGACCTTGTTAGAAAACAATCATATAAGTTCAGTAATGTAATATTACGAACAATTTACAAAGTCAAGCTTCAATCTGTAATCCACTCGTAAACTTTTATATATGATAAAAGTGGTATTTAATAAAGATGTGTGAATGAATAGTTTGAGAAACTATGAAAATAGAAGGAATGAGTGAAAATGTACGAGAATAATTAGAATTTATAAGTCGTGTCGAATGTTAATGTAGGCAAAATGTAACTATGAATGGAGATAAAATAAAACAAATAAAATGGGAAATGTTTCAGAACAGAGTTCTATTAATTAACATATTCTATTTCTATTATTAAATATTCTCAACTATATTATGTTCTATACAGAAATCTAAGGAAATTGTCACAAACAAAACTTGGACGATTTACTACGCCATTATCTAAAACTCTGAAGTACGTCTTGGTGCTCTGCCAACGAAACCCCATTTCAATGTCTTCCAAGGATACCAGTCAACCAAGTTCCAACAATAAAAATACATAATCAATGGTTCTTCGAAATGATAACTTGACTAATATTACTTAACACTTCTTCGATCTTTTTTACTCAGATGGGATTGTCTATTAGACCCCAAACAGGTTCTCTTCCAAAGACACAAAATTTAAATTTTCCTCTAACTAGCTTCATCTAAATTTTGATCTAACAAAAGGAGGACCCTAACAGTCTGACTTCGATTTTAACGAGTTTCCGTAAGATGAAAGCTTACAGTTTCCTAATGAAACATATAAATTATTAGGTGTAGACACTCGACAATTTTAAAGATATAAACAATTAAAGATTAAAGTTGCAAACCTACAAGATACACTCTGAATATAAATAAAAGTCATCGAAGCTGCGTTGACAAAGTAAAACTATACTTCAATAAGTTTGACTTATATTCATAGTACATTTCAAAGGTACGTAACCTCAATTGTTCATATCTTCAAAATTATCGACTGTCTACACTTAATAATTCACATGTATTATTAGTAGACAGCGGATGTTTATGCAAATATACATTCTTGGGGGTAAAACAGGAACTGGAGTCAAACCAAGATCTGTTTTCCATATTTACAATTCTACCAGATGCTAAAGAAAATAAAAATTTCCTTAAAATTTATCAAACTCTTAAGTGCAGTGAATTCTAGAAAATCATGTGTGGTATAAATGCATAAAATCCGTAGTCTAATCATTAGTTACCAATACAGGGTGAACCACGAATCGTGATCAGTAGATATTACTAGATGTGTTCCAATATACAGAACGAAATGTTTACATACAGTAGGCAAGAGTTCAACTACTCTTTGTAATATTACAGTTCGAATATTTCTTTAATCTTTTCTCGACCCAGATGAAAAAAAAAGTAACACATGTTATGTTATGATACTTACCGAATTCGTCTTGAAATCCTCTAACAGATAGGCGTAAAAAAATTATAGGTATATTTGCAAAAACTTGAAGGTGACCTTGAAAAATCATGAAAAAAAAGAGTTGACCAAAAATTTGCTATAATCACGTAAAAGCTCTCTGGAAACCATGCTATACCTGATAAAAACATTTACGATCGGACTGCTACTAACAGAGTAATCTCTACTGATCACAATTTGTGGTTCACCCTGTATACTAGCATCTTACAAAACCCACTTAAACATGCCGTAAAAAAACTGGGGTCCTTCCCCTGTAAAATACAACGCTATCAACAATCTAGGAGTGCTAAAATCCCACTAATAGCGTGCAACAAGCCCAGAGTAATTATCTGTAGTTCCAAGTATACTTAATTATTTTCCATTCAATTAAACACATTTATATCCACGTTACACTTCACCTCTTGACCCACGAAACCCATTCGAACTCCACAACAATAAGAACACAGAGTCGGCGTAACAAAGGGAAGGGGCTAGAAATTAATTAAGAGGAGTATCTCCACTCGTGACCCCAAATTGCTTGCTTCCATCCCAGA